GAGATCGTGGGAAACCAAAGTGTGGCTGAAGGCCAGTTGAACTGATCCCTAGTGTTCTGCCTATCGATCCAATTTCCTGGATTGGGAGTGAATAGTATGTTCATCTTTTTCCGAGATAGTTAGATTCCTGATACCGGTTTCCTTGACAAATCTGAAAAGTTGCCTGACGTTACTCAGTGCCGCTGCCTTTTCCATCTCTCTTGCTTTCACTACCCAGCACTGTTCGCAATCATTGCGTAGGCTTCTTATCAGTCTGTGCTTAAACTAACTTCGCTCTTCATCATGTTCAGAGCCGGATGGAATGAATATTCGAGCATCTAGTAGTGCGGTAGATGCTGCTGAGATCCAGTATTTCTCCCTAACCTTATGGTGTACCTTACTAGCAGATATTATCGCTGTTTTCAAAGCTTTTCGGATATCATTCCAAGCTGTCTCGTGGTGCGTATCACTTACATGGTTGACTAACTGTTTTCCTAGTTGTTACTGAAACGTATTCTTAGCTTGGCTATCATTAAGTAGAACCCAAAGAGGTTTCCTTGAAGTGTCTCTCCTACGTCCAGTAAGACGCAGACAAATATGCGCTTGCACTATAGCATGATCTGAATATAAGCATGTGCTCCAGAATGAGCGACAGACTTCTATCGATCCCCTCCATCGGTGGATGATAACGATGAGGTCTAGGTGGGTCCAACGTTGGGACGAATTAGGGGATCGCCATGTCAAAAGATGTTTTACCTTATGCTTAAAGTTAGTGTCTGCTAGAAACAGGCGGTTACCTGAGTATAGCTGCAATAGATGTCGCCATTGTCTGTTCTTTGAGCCACGACATCATAAGATCCATCCAGTTACCCAACCACCACGTCAAGGTAGCAGCTACGATCATTCTATCGCTAATAATAAAAGTGGACATAATCTCATGAGTCGTGACGCTGACTTTCACTTGACTAAGGTGTGAATAATCCTGAATAGCTTTCCACTTCCTATCTAATAATCGAAATTTTAACTATTCTAAATCCAACTATGAAGTCAACCAGTTTAAACCAGCCAATGAACTTATAAAGACTTATCGAGATTTAAAAAACAAAGTTTTATAACAGTTGGAGATGTTTAGAAAACATCGAAAATGAAACTATATTTGCAAAATTCGACTGGATAATGTGACCCGAACTTATTTAGAGCAATAATTAAAACAGAAACTATTGAATATAAAAAAAGTCACGAGACAAACATTTACTACACAAATATCCAATTATATTAATTTGTTAAATATGGCTTAAATTTATGAGCTTGGGTCAACTGATATGAAGGCTTTCCAGATAGTGGTGATTAAAATATGTGAGTGTATTCAATCGTCTCATACAATTTTCAATTGTGGCGAAATTCAGCTGACACAAGGTATTTCATTACAATGTTTTATATAGCTACAACGTGAAACGACTAACCAAATAGAATGTTTCTCTGACTAGTGTTAAATAAAAACTAGCTTATTTAGAATCATTCTTTATCCAACACGACAACGTTAGGTCAGACTGTTCTTGGTGTAAATTAAATGATATATATATATATATATATATATATATATATATATATATATATAGGCATGCCCGATTAACACATCAAGGCAGCAGCTACGGTCTTGTAATCAACCCTTAATTTACATAATGTTTGTACGTATCAAATGAAATGCTGAATGACTAAAAATTATAACGGATTGTAAATACAAATAAAGCTTATTTTATGCATCTTCACATTTATACTCACCCCACTGCAACACCAATTGTTAAGGCGCATTGACCTCACACAACGCAGAGTCAAATCGACTATTTTGGCATCAACAAAAAGTTTAGGAGGACGGTAGCTGATAAAGCATCAAATCATCATTCGCTGGTCGCCAAAATGAAATTGAAACTCAAGAAGCATCGCAAAACGGGGCGGACAACAGCACAAAAGTTTAATACGGCTCTTCTTCGGGATACTGACAAACTCAAGATAGTCCTCAGTAATAGACTCCAGGCCTTTTCATGATCTACTCAATGGAGAGCAACTGTAAAAGGATAAAAGAGGCAATCACTTCAACATGTCATGAGGTTCTGGGCCACAGGAATCACCGTCACAATGAACGGATCACTGTTGATAAGATTCAAGAAAGGAGGAACAAGAAGGCAGTAATCAATACCAACCGAACTAGAGCAGAGAAAGCCAAGGCACAGGCTGAATACACAGAAGTAAACAAGCAAGTGAAGTGTAGCATCAGAACTGATAAACGTAAATATGTGAAAGATTTAGCAATGACGGTGGAAAAGGCTGCAAGAGAAGGAAACATGAGACAACTGTATGACATAGCAAAGAAACTCTCTGGAAATCACCGTGAACCAGAACGACCAGTGAAAAGCAAGGTAATCTCCAACATTGAAGAACAATTAAACAGGTGGGTAGAACACTTCAAAGAACTCTTGAATCGACCAGCCCCACTGAACCCACACAACATCAAAGCAGCACCCACGGACCTCCGCCCCCGAATGCCCTGGTACGGCCGAGAGTGGGGAGAGTCCGCTCTCCCTCTCGAAATGCTCTCACATGGCCATGTGTATATAGCCTCTGCCAGGGAAGTCCTACTCACTTCCTTCTCGTGGCATTACTGTTGTTTACGAAAATGAGAGGACGAAAAGCGAATGTCCGGTGCTTTAACCGGATCCCAAATCAATGGTGCACATGAGCTCCAGTATCCTGAAGGAACAAATGGCGTATGAACCAATCGTTGGTCACCGGCTACCATGGAACTGCATCTCGTTACGATGCTCCACTGCCTTTTGGGTCAGACGTTCAGGTCGTAGGCTCGGGGTGTGGCCCCCTAAGAAAACCATCTGCTTCGGTCTGGGCACCCGGGCAGTATCACAGCCCTCACACATATCAAATGAGATTTGTGCAGCGCATATGTACTTGGTGCCTCCTTGTACCTATACCTATGTGTTAAAATAAATAACCACGGACCTCCCAATCGATGTTGGCCCACCAACAATTGAAGAAATCAGCATGGCCATCAGACAAATCAAGAGTGGCAGGACCAGACAACATTCCAGCAGAGGCACTGAAAGCAGACGTAGCGGTAACTGCAAGGATACTCCACATTCTCTTCGGCAAGATTTGGGATGAAGAACAAGTACCAACAGACTGGAAAGAAGGACTTCTGGTCAAAATACCAAAGAAAGGCGATCTCAGCAACTGTGATAACTACAGGGGCATCACTCTTCTCTCAATAGCAGGAAAAGTCTTCAACAGGGTACTGTGAAACAGAATGAATGATTCTGTAGACGCCCAACTTCGAGACAAACAGGCTGGATTCCGTAAGGATCGATCATGTACAGACCAAATCGCAGCAATACGGATCATTGTGAAAAAATCAATTGAATGAAATTCATCACATTACATCAACTTCAATGACTACAAGAAAGCATTTGATAGAGTGGCGGCCTCTTCGACACTACGGTGTGCCTCAGAAGATGGTCAACATCATACGGAATTCCTATGATGGACTAAACTGCAAAATCGTGGGTGGAGGACAGCTAACAGACTCGTTCTTAGTAAAGACCGGTGTCAGGCAAGGTTGCTTATCCGCACTCTTTCACTTTCTCCTGGTGATCGACTGGATCATGAAGACGTCAACATCATAGGGGAAGCATGGGATACAGTGGACAGCTAGGATGCAGCTGGACTTTGCAGATGTTCTGGCTCTTCTGTCGCACACCCAACAACAAATGCAGGAAAAGTTGACCAATGTAGCAGCAGTAGGTCTCAATATACACGAAGGGAAAAGCAAGGATCTCAGATACAACACAGCGTGCAACAATCGAATCACACTTAACGGAGAAGCTTTGGAAGATGTAAAACTTTTCATCTCTGGGCAGCATCATTGATGAGCATGGCGAATCGGATGCAGATGTGAAGGCGAGGATCGGCAAAGCAAGAACAGCATATTTACAATTGAAGAACATCTCGAACTCAAAAAAATTGTCAACCAACACCAAGGCCAGGATTTTCAATACAAATGTCAAGACAGTCCTAATGTATGGGGTGGAAACCTGAAGAACTACGAAAGCCATCATCCAGAAGATACAGTTGTTTATTAATAGCTGCCTACGCAAAATACTTCGGATATGTTGGCCAGACACTATCAGCAACAATCTGCTGTGGGAGAGAACGAACCAGATCCTAGCGGAGGAAGAAGCGCTGGCAGCGGATAGGACACACATCGAGGAATGTACCCAACTATCTCACAAGGCAAGTACTCTTATGGGATCATCAAGGCCAAAAGTAAAGAGAAAGACCAAGGAACACATTACGTCGAGAAATGGAGACAGACATGAAAAAAATCAATAACGATTGGATAGAACTAGAAAGGAAGGCCCAGGACAGAGTGGGTTGGAGAATACTGGTCCGCGGCAAATGTTCAATTGGGAGTAACAGGCGTAAGTAAGGCGGATTGACCTAAATTGTTTTTTCTTCAGACTTAAGGTTATTTATTTTTCGGTTAGTGACGCCTCTTAGTCTTTACAAATAACTGTCATTTGCAGTTCTTAACGTCCTGTTTCATTGCTGTCCTAAAGTCATCATAATCTTGCTTTGTGTGGACTAAACTGAACTTCCCAGCATTGTACAACCATGTCCTTCATCACCTGCCAGTAGCTTTTTCAGTTTGAAAACCTCACGTCAATAGACGGAAGTTTTACTTCGAAACAGGGGGAAGTATTATAGACTCACATTAGTTTGTCGTAAGACCTGATAACATGAGGGTCTGAGAAGTGTACCCACTTCCTGATCCTAAAATTGCTCGAGCTCCTTCAATTTATTAAATGGCAGCGGAAGATGACCACCTAAACTTATATTCTAGACACCGATCATCACGAGAGGGTTCTAATCAATCGTTTTTTATAAATCTAGTCGATTACCTACTGGGTAGGATGAAATGCAGCTCATGACCTCTAGCTGGTGTTAGCCATTATCTCAAGGAAACCCTGACGTCTGATTAAGAGATTCAGCCAAACACAATTCCCTACAGTTGCTGGAGATTGGTTGTGACGATCCCTTAACCCCTTTAGTTAGAAATAGTAACTGGAGGTCAGGCTATCCCAAAAAGTAACTTACCAGTCGTCCTCATCCATTGAGCTGACAAGGAACCTCAATTTCATTTTTCCTGAAATAATGTTACTGACAGCCAACTCGCTTATGCCTGATACTTCGATGAGTAAAAACAACTGCTGAAGGTTACGTATCACTATTGCTTTTACCGTCCGCTTTGCTTCCGCTACCAAACGCTGGTCACAATTATTTCGCTAATATTTAACTGGTCCATGTTCAAGTCTAGATTTCTATAATTACATTACCACCCATCTTTATAAACTGATTAGGCAATTTTAAATTTTGCATTAATGTTGAGTGATTGTTTGTATATATTTATTTCTCAAACAACAATACCACACTATGAATTCTAGATATTAAATTCAAATTAAGCAGAAACTTATTGGGATTGGATAGGGGGAGGAGGTGGTTCCGGAAATTCACCAATAGCTTCCCAATAGAAATGCTGCCGGCGGTAAAGAAATACAATATGATTAATGTGGTCCTCCAATTTGCTTAGCTTGACATTAAGGTCATCAAGTGTTGGGCAACCAGATAAAATATCCGTAGCACATTCTCTCTCTAACCGTTCAAATGTAAGGTAGGAATAAACGGGAGCAGTATGTTCATAGATGTATGTTCGGGCTCTGCGTAAAATGTAGATAAGACGAATAAATTTTAACATAAAGACAGAACAGTAAAACGGAAAATAATTGATGGAGTGATTCAAAGAAAGTGGACAACAAATGATAAGACAATTCCTATAAACATAATTCACTCTGACAGACAGTTTTTAACCTAGGTGAATGATGGCTAGCAATTATTGCAGTAATTTTTTGACCAGTGAATGAAGATTCACTGCAATTCCCGAAGTCAAAACGACAAAAAATTGTCAAAAACTAGTTTCGCTGATAAATTTTTTAAAGTACCAAGCCACAAAACGTGACGTGAAGAATATCAAATTTTGCAGAGAATAACGTCTCGAATATTAACTACTCACCTCATCTGTTTGATTTCGGCTACAAGCAACAAGACCGTACTATTTGCAAAAGCAAGCACTCACTGATTAATGAATATAGTGCAAACATAACTAACAAAGAAGGTTAGAAATGCCGTCAACCGTTTCACTTTTTTTAACGTAGCTGATATATAAATCAAAGAATCAATAAAAACCAGCTGTCAATCACATGAAATGTCATTACTGAACTCAATACACGTCCGTAGACACTTACCTAGTCTTGAATAATGCCGAAAAATTGTCATCATATCTGACACATAGATCTTTCTACCACTGTACTTAAATTATATATTTAAACACACTACTTCCTAACATAATATTGCTTTAAAGGTTCGAAAATTTTATGAACTATACTAGGTATGCAACCATCTATACGAAATCTAAACTCTAGTTGTTATCCTAAGCCAATTTTAAAATAAAATTACCAAATTTATGCTAGTGTACGAGATAAATCACGGTTATTTATTAAAAATATGATACACAATAATACAATTGAGGAAACTTCCTAAGTATCACTTATATATTGCAGAATATTTGGCAACTATAATTTATAGACAAAAACGTCAGTCGATTTCAGATTCCAAGTGTCAGAGTTAAGAGGTAATAACCTGAGTCATTCAAGAATTCATTAACCCTTTTTTGTCTAGAAAAACAACTGTCTGCAGCGCTTGTTATAATTCAAGCTTATTGGTCAATAGCTTGATCTATGCATTCGGAAATTCTGATTGATTAATTTTGTGTGCTTAATTGAGTATATGCAGAATAATTCTATAATTTCTGATTATGAAATGTCATTATCGGGTACTACACATTGCAAAGGTGAAATAATGATGAAGTTGTCTCAAAACCACTAAAGATGAATGTTTACCAGATCTGTACTAACCGTGTTCATAGATACCGTGAAGATAAAATCTCAGATAGGATAGGACAAAATAATGCAATTCACTTGTCAAGTACAGATTCGCGTACCCGGCTCCGAGCCGAATTCTTGATGTAATGGTTAGTGACTATACTCAGTTCCTCGAACCGAAGTGGGGTGGGATTCGAACCTCAGACCTAGTTGGCCTTACCCACTATAACACTAAATATGACGTCTGGAAAATATCTTACATCAAACTGAATAAAAGATAAATGAAATGATGGCGTGATAAATAATGCAAAATGGTTATTAAGAGTTTGATTCACTAACTGATTATTTAAAAGAAACTTTTTAAAACTACTGTACGACAAATATTTGCATTAAAGAACTCAACGAAGTATACAGATGAGATTCAATGTAGTCAACGTTATGACAGACTTGAAGTGAGCAGTCACGGATTGTTTATTTACATCGATTTCTATTATTGATCATTCATTTCTAACCAACAAGTAAACTATAGTCATACTACTTTGACTGAGCGTTTGGTACATAAATGAAGACCTTAATATTTAAACACATGCTTAGTCTATTGGTCAGTAGTTCTGATTCATAAAATCTATAAACTTGCCTTTAGGAAGTCGGTATCATGAAAGAAACTATCGATCGGGCTACTTCCGTTTCATTCTGTATTTTATCATCACGCCATCATAATAGCTTGATTATGAGTACTCTTATCGATTATTCAAAAAATAATATGCATATATGACAGTCTCGTTTTTAAAAAAATGTACTGAACAAATTGTTGTATAAAAATAGAAAGCTAGAATGGTATATGTTTTTTAGTAAATATCGTCATTTTCATTTTATTTGTGTGATGTCAGTCTGGCTGTAAAAGGTCGGATCTACAACGCGTCGGTGAGAGCAGTTTTGCTCTATGCTTGTGAAACCTGGCCTCTCCGAGTTAAGGATGTTAGACGACTTTCTGTGTTTAATCATCGCTGTCTCCGAAGCAGTGCTGACATCCAGTGGCAACACCATGTTAGTAATGCAGAGGTTCGGCATCGTGTGTTCGGGCACAGAGACGATAATGCAATTGGTGTCACCATCTTGAAACACCGACTTCGGTGGCTTGGACATGTTCTACGAATGTCGTCCCAGAGAATTCCACGTCGTGCATTATTCGCCGACTCTGGGACTGATTGGAAAAAGCGGAGAGGTAGTCAGTGTATGACATGGTGTCGTGGTATGAAAGAAAGCTGCAAAGGGCTGGCCTCTGTTGGTACTTCACGACTCCCTGGCTGGGGTCCGAGAGATGGTGCTCAGAATAGAAGCCGGTGGAGATCCTGCTGTAACCTTCTTTTACTTCCTTCATAAAAAGTGGTTGTATCTTCGTTAATTGAAAGATTTCTTCTGGTTGTACCTTTCCGTTTCCTCCATTATTACTATTACACTACCTATCAGGTCATTATTGTTCTTCCTGTTTTTCTTTTACGCTCCTTGCCTTTTTTTTCCGTTTCCCATTCTCATTGTTTTGTGTGGCGCATATATATCTGGTGCCCCCTTGTACCAATATTTAGGTGTTCACATAAATAAATAAATAATGAATAAATGGTATATGTTGATATATATGAGGCACTTACAAAAACAAGGGGTTCATTGGAGTTATGTATACCTCACTAGGTAAGTATCGACAAATGAAATAAATCCACTTTACTATGTCATCTAATCGATAACGATGAGGACCAACAGCTTCATAAATCTGTCCAAGTGACTCTGGATTATGCAATGAATTGACAATTCCACGGGCAAGATCATGTACACAAACAGGTTGCTTCACCGTATTTTTGCCACAAGCCCATAATGGGATATGAACATTTTGAAATCTATGGAATCGCCGAGCTGAACAAAGTGCATAAATATGAAAAACCATAGAATAAATAAATTTAAGACCAACTTCAAAGCAAAATCTATATACTAATAAGTAAACTGTGCTAGGTAAAGCAAGACGCGTTTGGGAATTTAACCTTTCTTTTGAGATACAAATCTTGAAATCGAAAAAGATCTCTAAAAGGCTAACTGACGGTCAATTTAAATAAAAAAACTATATATTCGGAATTCCGATCACTTGGACAATATATTTGATCAGTGTATACAGGTTCAGGCATAAAAAATATGACAATAAAGCAATAAAATGTTTGAATTTTCCACGAAGTAAAATAAAGTGATCTGGTCACTATTGCAGAACCGATCTCATTTCAAACACAAAGATATTTGGATTGTGGGTTTGTCCCCAAGTTTTAAAGGACATGACTAAAACTAAGAATATATAATCTCTTATAAATATGGCGCCTAAAGTTCATAACCGTTGTTAAAAATGGACATGAAAGTAGTAGGCAACAAAACAGAAATAAGACAGGTAATATGACATATAATCAACTAAAATCCATTTGATCACTCTACTACTAATCAGTCAGTCAGTAACAACGTAGAAATTCGTACGTATGTACATCAGTTCAAGTTGCCATACCACCGTTTAAACTGAAAATTACATTTACAAAGGAACGATTATAATGGTGTAAAATGTATGTTACTAGGAGTTTCAGATCAAGGTCGCGTTATCATACAGTTGATTGGAAATATGCCGCTTAACACAATCTAAATTATGCAGAAAAGGATTGTTAGTAAACAGTTATTAGGTGGCAACTGACAAAGTTAGAACGAGGTGTGTACGAAAACATATGGACTTTTTGATCGATAGCTAGTGTGATACGTAAACGATTTACAGAAACATCGGAAGTCAACATAAACAACCCTTCAGTCAGTCAGCAACAACGTAAAACTTCGTACTGTAATATCTAGAAATGGTTGATTTACTTGATATAACGCGTACAACTGAACACACGAACGCCCAAACCCTTCCAAGTCGCAAAGAGAAGACAGAAGACAAGTGAAAGGAATGTTATTTTAAACAGTGTCAATTATGGGTACAAATTGTCAGGTATTTATAGTTTTAGTAAGAATAAAAATCATCATTATAGTCCTCCAATCCGCATACAGGGGTTTATTAGCCTTGTCCAATCGGGAAGCTTCACGTAGAGATTCTAGAATATCCTTCCTAACGGTGATTGGATGGAATATCTTCGGCTCCTTCTGAGCCTCTTATAGCTTCCTCGAGTTCACCCGTGGTCCGTCGTCACACGTACGTATGTACATCAGTCCAAGTTGCCATGCCACATTAGCACGGAGATACAATTGTCGATTCAAATCCCATATTGGTAGAGGTATAAAAGTACAAGCAATAATTGGAAACATTAGGGTTTGAAGATGTTATTCAGGGAGTATAATCCGGTGAAATAACTTTGGAAAGAGGAAAAAAGAGACATGAAGAACTCAGAAGACTAGAATTTGAGAGAACACAAAGAGTTGATGCACCTGCGCCATAGCAAACGATTTTGAGCCATGTCATTCAAGGTCTATAACCATCGGTTGCTACCGTCTCGCGAGGCTCAACCAAGTAGTCTACACCTACCAACATGGCTAAGTTCACTTGTCAGTGACTTCATGTATTTGTGCCATGTTTTGGTCTGGCCGCCCCTAGCTTTCTTCCAACCTACCCCCACACCATAAAACATCGCACGTCGGTGGTTGGGCATACGTAACACATGTCCCAGCCATCTCAATCGATGAAGTTTCACTACTTCATCAATGGATTTGCCATCCTTACCTAGTACCCGTTTCCTAACAACTGCATTACTTACTCGGTGGACACAGGATATACGGGCAATGCTTCGAAGACACCTATGATCGAATGCTAGTAACCTACGAATACCTTCTACTCTTACCGGCTACATTTCACAACCATAAAGTAGGACGGAACGAACTGTAAACCCGTCCTTCGGTTGGTAGACGGATATCTCGTCTATGCCATAAATGACGCAAGTTGGCAAAAGCTAGTCGAGTCTTCTGTATCCGTGCTGAGGTTTCGTCACACACCGGACCACAAGGACTGATGAGACTACCAAGATAAGTGGAGTGGTCGACACGCTCAACTACTCCACTCCCTATCATTAGTTCAGGTGCCAATGCAACCCAATCTTGAAGCAACATTCCGCATTTCGAGGGGGAGAACCGCATCCCGAACATGTCTGCATTGTTGCTTACAGTGGTCAGAAGACTCTGCATTCTGTCAGTGTCTTCACCAAATAGAATTATGTCATCGACATATTTTAAGTCAGCAAGTGGATCTCCCGGTAGAAGTTCAACCCCTGGAAATTTAGATGTGGAAAGTGTCATCTCTAAAAGCACGTCAACGACAAAGTTAAATAAGGATGAAGAGAGTGGACAGCCCTGACGAACGCCTCTTGAGGTAATCAATTCTGATGACAGTTCGCCATAAGCTCTCACTCGGCCAGTTGTGTTCGAGTAGAGAGCCTGTATAGGGTTAATGTACTTCCTTGACACTCCTTTCAGTGACAAACACTTCCATGGAACCTCATGATCGACAGAGACAAATGCCACACTAAGGTCGAGAAATACCACTATTGTGGGACGTCTGAATGTGTGTCTATGTTCTAGGACCTGACGTAGTGTGAACATCTGGTCTATACAGCCATGTCCAGGTCAGAAACCAGCCTGGTTTTCTCTAGTCTGCTCTTCAAGAGCTTTAGTTAGGCGTCGAAGTATTATTGGAGCTAATATTTTAGACACTATATTAGTCAAACTGATTCCTCTGTGATTGTCACAAGAGGACTTTTGTCCTTTCTTATAGACTAGCACAATCAGTGACTGAGACCAGTCAGATGGGATTACGTCCAGTTCCCAGATTCTACCTAAGACCTCAGTCAATCTCGCTGCTAATACTGGACTTCCATCCTTAAAAATCTCAGGGGTAAACCTGTCAGGGTCCGCTATTCTCCCTCGCTTCAGATTTCCTATAGCTTTTTTTAACTTCATAAAGAGTTGGAGGACTTACATCAACTTGCCATTCAGGTCGACTGGAGATCGTGGGAAACCAAAGTGTGGCTGAAGGCCAGTTGAACTGATCCCTAGTGTTCTGCCTATCGATCCAATTTCCTGGATTGGGAGTGAATAGTATGTTCATCTTTTTCCGAGATAGTTAGATTCCTGATACCGGTTTCCTTGACAAATCTGAAAAGTTGCCTGACGTTACTCAGTGCCGCTGCCTTTTCCATCTCTCTTGCTTTCACTACCCAGCACTGTTCGCAATCATTGCGTAGGCTTCTTATCAGTCTGTGCTTAAACTAACTTCGCTCTTCATCATGTTCAGAGCCGGATGGAATGAATATTCGAGCATCTATTAGTGCGGTAGATGCTGCTGAGATCCAGTATTTCTCCCTAACCTTATGGTGTACCTTACTAGCAGATATTATCGCTGTTTTCAAAGCTTTTCGGATATCATTCCAAGCTGTCTCGTGGTGCGTATCACTTACATGGTTGACTAACTGTTTTCCTAGTTGTTACTGAAACGTATTCTTAGCTTGGCTATCATTAAGTAGAACCCAAAGAGGTTTCCTTGAAGTGTCTCTCCTACGTCCAGTAAGACGCAGACAAATATGCGCTTGCACTATAGCATGATCTGAATATAAGCATGTGCTCCAGAATGAGCGACAGACTTCTATCGATCCCCTCCATCGGTGGATGATAACGATGTGGTCTAGGTGGGTCCAACGTTGGGACGAATTAGGGGATCGCCATGTCAAAAGATGTTTTACCTTATGCTTAAAGTTAGTGTCTGCTAAAAACAGGCGGTTACCTGAGTATAGCTGCAATAGATGTCGCCATTGTCTGTTCTTTGAGCCACGACATCATAAGATCCACCCAGCTACCCTTCCTTTTCTCTTGGTTTACCTACTTGAGCATTAAATTCACCAGCCACTATTACCACATCAGAGCGCTTAACCCTTTGGAGGAGGTCAGAAAGCTTTCTGTAAAGTTCATCTGAGCTGCAGTCAGTGGGAGAGTAGGCAGAGACGACGAAGAGTGTCCCCATCTTTCAGAGTACCTACTGTTCCGTCTAGTCGGGCAGCGCACAAGCGACTGCCTACCAAGCCCCAGCCTAAGAGACCTAGTTCTGCCCCGGTACTCAATGCTATACCTCCACCAGCGAGGACATAGGAAGCAGCATCAGGGCTTCCAGACATACGGAGCGCAAATCGGGTTTTTTTATTTTGATACGGTGAAGTCAAATGAATGACGCTACTCGGATCCTATATGTGCGTTTCGGAGACGCAGCATACATCGATGGAGCGAGATTCAAAAGTCCTAGCTAACGAAGCCTGTTGTCCTATTTGGCACAGTGTTCGGACGTTAAAAGCTCTTACATTTAGTTAAGAGCATGATTTCAGGAGACTGGGAATAACGTTCCGCGTACTCAGATCGTTTGAATTAACGGCGCGAGGTGATAAAGGAACGTAAGAGGGGTTAGTCGTGCAGGTAAGAGTTATTAGGCGTAGGGGGGATTTGATTGTGACCAACTTGGTCTTATGTGCTGTTACGAGTATGAGGGCTGATATCAATTCTCGGCTGCCCACACCGTGAAAGGGTATTTCTTAAGGAACCTGAAAGAAAAGTTAGATTAGTGTTGGTCTTAACGACCTGCGAGCGTGACGGCAGGACCCAAGGGACAACTGCTTGAGGTCGGTCGCGCATGGCTTTTTTTGTGTGAAGCTCTTAATGTGTTAGCTCCGTTCTCCAAAGGGCTTACCACCACAGACGGAGATCTGTCAGGTGAGGTGAGGTGTGAAATTTTTAGGGTCAACTTTTTCTAACCCCTTCCTTCCTTGTAAGAAGGCAGCATCGCTGTAGATGCTGGTTGTCCTAGCGAAACCTTACTGCTGTCACACCCCTCTACAGTCAGCAGTACGACTTCGCCCTCAAACCTTGACTTGCTGCTTTTAGTCTTACCGTTCTCCAACCGACCTGCCTGGCGTGGTAGAACCTACAGGGACATACTTTCCAGTCTATATAGCTCGGTTGGGTCATCACGATAGGTAAGCCCAACCACCACGTCAAGGTAGCAGCTACGATCATTCTATCGCTAATAATAAAAGTGGACATAATCTCATGAGTCGTGACGCTGACTTTCACTTGACTAAGGTGTGAATAATCCTGAATAGCTTTCCACTTCCTATCTAATAATCGAAATTTTAACTATTCTAAATCCAACTATGAAGTCAACCAGTTTAAACCAGCCAATGAACTTATAAAGACTTATCGAGATTTAAAAAACAAAGTTTTATAACAGTTGGAGATGTTTAGAAAACATCGAAAATGAAACTATATTTGCAAAATTCGACTGGATAATGTGACCCGAACTTATTTAGAGCAATAATTAAAACAGAAACTATTGAATATAAAAAAAGTCACGAGACAAACATTTACTACACAAATATCCAATTATATTAATTTGTTAAATATGGCTTAAATTTATGAGCTTGGGTCAACTGATATGAAGGCTTTCCAGATAGTGGTGATTAAAATATGTGAGTGTATTCAATCGTCTCATACAATTTTCAATTGTGGCGAAATTCAGCTGACACAAGGTATTTCATTACAATGTTTTATATAGCTACAACGTGAAACGACTAACCAAATAGAATGTTTCTCTGACTAGTGTTAAATAAAAACTAGCTTATTTAGAATCATCCTTTATCCAACACGACAACGTTAAGTCAGACTGTTCTTGGTATAAATGAAATGATATATATATAGTGGATTACCGACGTTGTGTGAAGCCACGAGTACTGTTGAGGTCAGCTGTCGGGTATTATATATCGATGGCAAATCAATTGTGGTAACTGGACAATTGTGCTAGGGACCCTGAGTTCTTTGCAAGTGACTGATTAAAAGCAATGAATTCTTGGATTTTACTTATGTAGCACTTTTATTCAACTGCTAAACAGAGCGTTATCTTTTACTGGTAAAACCTTTTAAGTTGCTGTAGTTTGTAATATTGTAATTTCCAATGAGAAGTCTTGGTTTTAAAATTATCCGCTTCCACCTAAATCATTCTGCAATGCACCTTAGAAGAGTAAACCAGGAAGAGAACGACAGATGTCGGCAAACAGACTATTTCATGAACCATACGTCTACTCGTCCTAACTGGGTAGCTTTAGTACATCTGCTACTTTGGAGTCGGTCAAGCGTAGTCTAGAGTAAATGAAGTTTTAGGTTACTTATCACTGTTCCTGACATTGAAGTTGCGTTTATTTTTCCTGATTAACCATCATCTCGTAAATAACCTGGTTTTATGTCTTAACGATACAATATACCTAATCTGTCCATTCATAATGAAGTTTTATGAGAATTTGAGTTAAGTTTAACCTACAATTGGTATAGGCAATGATACTATGAAATGATTATAGGAATATCAACTTTGTTGGGGGTACCGATTCGATATATTACAGTACGGTGGTACATAGGAGCACGAACAGAGAGGTATGATCCCTAAGAAAATAAAATAATCTTATTGTTTGTATGAGTATCTATTAAAATAACTACCTGCCTGTGTATACAATGGCTTAAGATCACGTCAGACGGTTTTCTTAGTGCGTGACCTTACAGGTCTCCATGGATAACACAACTGAGATCTGTAAAACGAGAGACAAAAGCTACTCGGTCTGTAAACAACGCATTTATTTTCCATAACACAAGAGCCTTTAAGAATCGAGTATATAACCTAAACAGATGCACAATTATAAACTCAATCACTGGATAAAACACATTTTAGTTAATAATATAATCTATATTTTGACTTTAGGCATCTAATTACTTGGATGTATATTTCATAACAATTCCTTGAACTGATAAAACCGACAGATGCGAAATTAGGAAGATTCTAAGCGCGAGGAACTTCCAGTAATATAAAAAGACTCCTGTGATGTCTACTAATGTCAGACAAATAGTTGTGGGGATTGAGAAAAACACCTTTACTCATAAATATATCTCGAAAATAGAAACCGAAGAGTGAGTAGGGAACATAAATGTTTAAATCGACTTATCTATGCGACTTAATAACAAACATTCTGCTACGCTTAAATCATAAACTATGATTTTGGTAAATGAACAAAGTACTAAAAAGAAGCAACTAAACTTACGTCTTGAAGCAAAATAGCACAAAAAACGATCATGTGGTCCCCATATTTCAGCTGGTCTGAAAATCGTAGCGTCTGGGCGTTCACGCAGAACCTCCTCTTCACCTATTGCCTTAGATATCATATATCGAGAGGGCTTCCGAACATATTTCGGAGGATTCTTATTTTGACACAGTGCAGATACATGAACCAGTTGCTGGACTCCTAATTCTCTAGATATCCTTGCAATCCGTGAGGCCGCATCAATGTGTACATTTTCAATAGTAAAGTTTCTAGTGTCAGAATCTGTGCCTGTTAGATTGATGACCACATCGCTATACTTCATGGCTTTTCTTAAGGATTCATCATCTTTCAAATCAAAAGGCTATAAATTTAATGAAAATATCATATTAGTTCTTCAGAATATAGGTAGTAACGCCGAACTAAAAACATTTTTATCATAAAGGGAGGTTAGCTGAATTCTGCAGTTATATATATATATATATATATATATATATATCAGCGAGAGAGAGAATCATAGACAAAATGTATGCATAAAAATAAACAAACTGAGCATCGAGAAAACTTAGATCTGTACACTACATGATCACAACAGCAGAAAGTTCCAAAACTCACCAGTAAACTGCTAATTACTACATTTGAACATAGATTTAAGATATTTAGGTGAGCTTTCACTGTTTTAAAGCATACAACATAACTGGTCCAATCAATAAACAATGGCCATATAATTGAAGTATCATTCAAAGTCGGACAAGTGATTTAGTGCCGGTATTTGGACCATATATGAGGATGAAATACTAGTTTATTTCATAAATGTACACAAATTTACAAGAAAATCGTCAACACATGAACTGTTTTATTATTTATTTTAACACATAGGTATAGGTACAAGGAGGCACCAAGTACATATGCGTCACACGAATCTTAATTGATTTGTGTGAGGGTTGTGATACTGCCCGGTTGCCCAAACCGAAGCAGATGGTTTTCTTAGGGGGCCACACCCCGAGCCTTCGAACTGGACGTCTGACCCAAAAGGCAGTGGAGCATCGTAACGAGATGCAGTCCCATGGTAGCCGGTGACCAACGATTGGTTCATACGCCATTTGTTCCTTCAGGATACTGGAGCTCATGTGCACCATTGATTTGGGATCCGGTTAAAGCACCGGAAATTCGCTTTTCGTCCTCTCATTTTCGCAAACAACACCCCCGCCACGAGAAGGAAGTGAGTAGGACTTCCCTGGCAGAGGCTATATACGCGTGACCATGTGAGAGCATTTCGAGAGGGGGAGCGGACTCTCCCCACTCTCGGCCATACCAGGGCATTTGGGGGCCAATACATGAACTCCCATGCTCCCAAGCAATATCGAAAGTCTCGTCCCGAAACTGACGAAATAATATAAGGCAGGGATAGAAATGGAGTACACTTTTAGCGAATACGGTAGCGAAACAATGCACTTCAAGGATAACTTGATGGAAAATCTATTTCTTTGGACGGCATTTATTCACAGTAAACTTGACTTTTAAAATACTCAGCATGACATAATTGTTTAGGTTTCAAATCAATTAGATTATATAACCTAGTGACGACAGCTCCATGATTTATTTATTAAGTTCGCTAGAAGAAATATCATACTCAGGTGAAAAGGTCTTTAATTCACATTGTTATTGAGAAAATGGTGTCATGGTGACCGGGTCTGTATAACAATCGCAAGAGCGGATGAAACGCTACTCTCCCAAAAAAACGAGAAAGATAAAAATAAGTATGTAGAAGAATCCAATCAACCTAGAGATAAATATTGAATGTTCCTGAATACACACGAACCCTACATTTAAGTTTGTATGCGAAAAAGTAGTCCTAAGAATCACGTACCAAAAATAAAACTTGCCCCAGATCTCCAATAACTTTTACATCTCTGATCATATGAGGATCACATCTGTATGGAAGAATAATCTGTGTCCCAGTTTTAGCGAGCTGTGCCATTAAATTCCGGCCTAAATACCCAGTCCCACCAAACACTGTCACTGTCATGCCATTAAATGAAGATCTCCCACCGGTTCCTCGTTTCAATTTGCTTAGAACAATCGGCTCCTCCACCAAGCATCCAGAAGTGGTTGTGAAGAAACGACTACCTAGACCGTCAAAGGGGAAGACTATATATCCATAAACTACCTTACAACGGCACAAGACAAGAATACAAACAAATGATTAGTGGGCTGATTGTCACACAAAACAGCAACACGTACATAGACCCTCGAAGAGCTTAGATTTTGTGACGCTACCAAGTACAAAATTAAACGAAGTTGGGAACAATCACTACTCTTATTCGAGACTGGTATTTTGGATCCCACGCGGAGTCCAATGATACACAAGTCCACTTTATATAAGAGCGGATATGCTTCAATACATGGTAGTACACTAGTAAAACAATTACCCATAGGCTTTTTTATATAAGAAAATGTTCTGATATTTCTGTGAAGAGCTAAATACACATTTACCATGGAATAATCATTTTTCTGACGTGAGAAAGCTTTCTTATAAAAGCAAAACGACGAAAGTAGATGTTGGGGGCTCACAATAAGCAGTTACATCAGTCAGTGAGGATACAAATAATTGAAGAATAGAAACACTTTAGATAAAACTAAATGAAGGATAAATAAATTTTATCCACAGACTACTATCATGTATGCAGGGTCTAAAACGGCTCCATTTCTTTGCACAATATTTTTAAAATGAAAGCTTGGTAACCTAAGAAAACCAGTTTTATCTAGTCACGCGATTAGCAGCATAAATGTTATGAGGCATACGACAAAGAAAAAGAGGCAAAATATGGGAAATGATAACTCTAAAGTGGTTGGCACTATTACAACATGTGTTAACTATTGCATTGAGCTGACCTCGTTAATTCTAAGCTGTGGTCAGACAGAGCATTCGATTTAGATATTCTGAGACTATACATTTGTAAACAATCAAAATTTTAAGCTACGGGTAGACTTAAAAAAACGTTTTGTTATCACTATAGACAGCCTAGAGACCTTGGGACGGAAGATGACGTGGCCTTGTTTGATAGAGATAACAACAAAATCCAAGTGTTTTCTGGACATTAACAGGAAAACCGAAGATGTGAGGGATGTTTTACTCAACCACAGGTACACAGTGATGCTTTAGGAGGTCATCTAGATTAGTATGACAACCAGGAATATTAAAGTTTGACGCAATTATTCTATTAATCTAGTAGATTAAATCACAGCGCGGATAGAAGTTTAATTTTAGTGTTCCACATTAGACGACCTGTGATACAGACAGTATATATTTTCTGTATATAGAACAAGGAAAGTACAACGAAGCAAAGTACTTAGCTCCCAGGATATAGTCATTGAGGTAGATCCTCAACTCCTGTTTAACGTAGAATGTGGCACAAGTTAGTAACACTCCACGTCTTCTGAATTATACTAAATAATGTTCATTGTTGACACATACACCGTAGAAACACGCCAAAAAATCTATTCTTTAGTACTTATGAACCAGGTGAACTTGCATGAGTTAAGACCCGTCTTCTTAAAGAACCCGGAGACTTTGCTCATAACTGTAGCGCAAGAGTCAATTCAGAACCAGAGGTCATCAGCTTTAGAAGCACTGTATCTCTAGAGCAACAATAACCCATGGAGTTAGAGAGATAATGTGAACCAATTGATTTCTTTTTGCATGTATCCTAATGTTAAAATTTTTCAAATGGTTCAAATGGTTGTGGACGGAATAGAAGAAGCTTTCGCTTAACAGGCTTCCGTGTCTAGTAGCAGAGGATCACCAATACCTCCAGGCAAGAACCTAGGTATGCTAGCGATAAAAGAGAAGAAAAGGAAATTGGTAAATCATAGTAAGATACTATCCCTAGTCCTTAAGAATAGATCAAGTCGCCTCTTAAAGGACTCCTGGGAAGTCGCTTAGACTAGCTCAGCCGGCAGCGAATTCCAGCATTCGACAACTCTTAAGGAGTAGAAGTTGTGCCTGCAGTCCGTTCTACTATGTTGTATCTCTAATTTCTGAGTGTCACCCCTTAGGTTAGTGTTGGGACTAAGCCTAAGTAGGTGTTTAAGAGGATGTCCAGGAGTGTTAAGGATACTGTAAGCCATTAGAAGGTCACCTCTAAGACGCCTATACTCTAACGGGTAAAGGTCGAGTGGTTGGAGGCGTTCATCGTAAGGTTTAAATTTGAGTCCCCGAACTGATTTCGTGGCTCGGCGTTGGATACGCTCCAGAGTGTTCTTATCCTTTTGGAGTGTAGGAGGGAATACTATGTTTCCGTACTCTAAATAGGGACGAATGAAACTATTGAAGATTATGTGGAAAGTTCTCCCGTCAAACTGACCAAAAATGCGCTTCAATGTTACCAGTGCAAGGTTTGCTCGAAAGGCATTTCTGTCACAGTTGGTGTAAGACTTTAAGTCGTAGGGCACCAGAACTCCTGAACTTTTTTTGACTCGAGATACTACTAGAGAGGAGTTTCTTAATTTGTAACTGTAATCTGCGACGCGTCGCAGATGGACTACTTTACACTTTGAAGTGTTAAAGGTGAGTCCGTTGTCGTCTGCCCAACTTCGAAGTCAAGTCAGATCCTCCTGAAGTGCCTGTATATCCTATTGGTTGCGTATCTCTCTCCAAATTTTCACGTCATCTGCAAAGAGCAATATGTCTGACGTTACCTGTTGAGGAAGATCATTTATATAAATCAGGAAGAGAAGATTTGAAATGAAAATATTTTTATTTTGAGCACGGAAAGCCTAGGGCCTGTGACACTTCCCACCTTTAGGGCTCTTACTGTTGTATGATATTCAATCGAGTGAGTTAATGGGAGATGCACCCATTACTTTTTCTTGTAGTATGTTCGAAGAATTCATTGAAAACTGTTCCCAATGGGGATTTCGTTCATTCTTGGCTTTTAGACATCAACTCTTAGTATCGTACACACCAAAATCATTTAACCTTTTTATCATCGGTAAAATAAAGTTAAGTAGTCTAACATTCCCAGCAGCACTAAATATATTGAGCCAAGCAGCTACGTAATTATGAGGATATGTGTTCTATGTATTTAGTCAAAAAATTCGAGTTGCCTTTTAAACAGGGGCTCGAGGCTTACGCAATATTCTGAGTTATGAATCTATTGAGTTAATTATGGTGAACATATTAAGGCTGGAATTGTAAAACATAAGTTCTTATGTTACAGGTAAACTTAGAGCGTCATAAGATAGCCATTTTAACCACGAACGTTGGGTACTTATCAATCTCATGGATGCAAGTGATTGAAATTTGTGGCGGTAAATAAATCTCCCGAAGTAAATAATTTTATAGGTCTTCGGCATGACTGTTGACTTTACAAGCTTGTACGGATATAGTTTCGTTTGAAAGAGCCTGATCAAGCATCCGCATCAAATAGCTTTTCAGTCCTTCATGTTGGCATGTCTTGCATCAACTAGTCAGTCAAGGTCACACGCCCTTCAACACATATATAGTGATTAGAATGACTTTAGGATCTTCGCATGAAAGGAGGTTTAATACAGAATCGTTGTCAGATCCCCTATTTTCGGGAAATTTTCATATTTACGTTTTACAGTCCACATGATCAACTATGCTGCGCAATAGTTAAAAAACTATTTTGAAATTTGGAAAAGATTCACAGACCTGAGTGTGGGTAAAACGCATATATCAAAGGCACTTAAGGAAATTGTAAGGCTATATTTTACGTAATCAAGCTGCATTCAATGTTTATATCAAACCATATATTCTTGGTCTGGACATAGCCAAGTTTTTATAATGAAACAGTAAGTTATGACAATATTTATTAAGAAAATAGCCATACAAGATATTTAAATGTGTTCTTGCTCTCCTGTCATCACTATAAGAGAATCTGATACATTCTCACATTATGATTGAATAGTGTATTCCCTTCAGTCTCTCTCTTTATATATATATATATATATATATATATATATATGCATACTTCAATTCATAGTCTAACAGACTATCAATCAAGAGACGAAACGAAAAACTTTTTAACATAAGATACGAAATGCCTCGAAGGGTTCAGCCTGTGCTATTTAGTCAAAGGTTTCCCTAACACAAAGTAACGTGATAGACAGCAAGACGAAAGGTTAATAAGTGCGATACGTATCAGTACCCGTCCTTTATCATGAACTTTAAACAACCATATTCCTAGACTCTAAAGAGCTTTGTTATTTATTCCATCTGTCGTGGGAGAGCCTGACTTTACAAAACCAGAGGTTGTGTCGTCTCTGACAGGCGAAAATGATGGTAGGGAAATTACTTTAGTTCACCAATGTATACAGAGCAAAGCACTTTGTCTGTCTACGGCTCCTTATGGTTTGGTTCAATGTGGCTAATCTATGATACAGAAGTCGCTTTCCTGTTTAAACGTCTCCTGCGACACACAATAATAATAATACATTATGCATGAGCAGGTTTGTAAACTCAAACTAAATTTTTATCTAGCCAACAAACTCTGAAGTGGACCTTTAGGCCAAAATGAAGCGGCTCACTAATGACATTTCTGTAAGAGAACTAGAAATTCATTTGCATCCAAACACTGTATCGCCTTTACTACATCTTAGAGGTCAGCATAGTCTTAAACTGCCTTCAATCTTCTGAATAATCTCGATTCGTATAGTCTTGTGTTCATTTGCTACCATACTGTTCCGTTGTTTTCTCTCATTCACAAAAATATACTTGATTAACTGTCTATCTAACGAGAGGAAACAAATCTAGTTAACAATGCCTTGATGTTCCGATGACAAGTGATTTAACTTCAGTAGTCACAAAAATTGTCCGCTCTACGGCTTATCCTTTTCCATCAGCCCCACCAAATCCAGATATACGAAACATCTGACCAACTTCTACATTTGACTCCATGACAAGACAATGGTATTACACTTACAACCTGTTATTCTTCTTGGTTGGTTTGCTAAAACTTTGCGCTCTGATGATAATAAAGTTCAAAAATGTTGATAAACTCAAAACAAAATTGGGGTTGTTCATTTTTACGTACAGTTAATAAATAATTATTTGGAATTTGCTCGTTTATTATTGTGACAAAATTTTTTTTAATATGTGACAAAACGAGTAACTATGCAAAAATTTGATTAATTATATACACGTTGTGTAAAAAATAGTGATTTTTTATTGAAAAATTGAGTTATATATACCTGCGTGATATTTATCAATGAATGTTTGTTTTGATTTGCTACTCTGCAAAATGAACGTAACGCTCAGGCTTTTTTACATTTCTGTCGAATATGCACTTTGAAGGGTTAATCACGATGCTATACATTTTGAAACGATCGAAGGTGATGTATAAATGCTGTACATGTTCTTCAATGAGTGAGCTAGCGATTAAAACATCGTCGATATAAGCAAATACGAAGTCTAAATCTCTTATAACCTCGTCTATGAATCATTGAAATATCTGAGCAGCGTTTCTTAGTCCGAATGGAATTCTTAAGAATTCAAACAAACTAAAAGGTGTGATTATGGCTGTTTTTGCTATATCTTCTGGTGCCATCGGAGTTTGATGATATACTCTCACGAGTTGAAGTTTAGAAAAAAATCTGCTCTCCATAAAACTCTTGTAGATAATGAATGGGGTAAATGATTGGAGTGGTTTGATTATTTAAATGACGGTTATCGCCACATGGGTGCAAGTCCCGATCTTTCTTCGGAACCATGTGTAAAGGCGAAGCCCATGTGCTAATAAACTACCTAATGATGCCTAGTTGCATTATATGTTCGAGTTATTTTTTCGCAATCTTTAACTCGTCTGGTGGTAGTCTTCATTTACCACATTTCTAGTTCATTATCAACTCTACATGAGAACCATCTCATCTGCAAATCAAAGTTCTTAACTATTCATCCTTTTAGTAAAAATGGAATGTTTCTGCTCCGTTAGAGATATATTTTTTATACATGTATCATTTATATATATATGCATATATTATGCTTATTAATTTTGTTTCATTCTCCAAAAATCATACTGTTATTCGGCCTAGGAAACCGAGGGTTCTATCGGTGTCCTTGTATAATTCCAGAGATCATCATTATATTGAGCAGAAAGCTTCTAGTCATATCACTTCTTTTGCATATCCAGTGGCATGTTTTACGTACCTGGTATGATTTATAAGGGAATCACATTTTTTATTGCGTCAGATATTGTTCCAGTACATGCATTCGATGCCCACTGTAAACTATCCTTCCGAATACTAGTCATACCATACCGTTTTGATATATATTGTCATGGTTATTAAAACGTTTTGGCAATATAAGCAGTTTATGCTCAGATAATAATATATCAGACGAGCAGTTTTAGTTTGTAGGTAAGATCACTATGCCAAAAACGGTTCGAGACTAGCTGTCACATGTTACTCAGTTAGGCCAACGTGTTACAAGAAAGATTCATCATTAAAAAATGTAAACAAATTTCAGTGCATAAAAATATGTTTGTCCGTAGTAAAACTAGAATGCGCACAATATAGGTTGGCGTTATGCGACAAACGACTGTTTATCGAGAAGAAATTCGGATAAGATTTAAAATTGTCTACAACAGTTGTGAATACTAAACATTTAATCGATAAATTCGTCAATCGACTATGTGCGTGGGTTGTAGGAAATGCCCGCGTATACATATTCATACAAACTCTACAAGATAAAATTGCAAACTATGAGTTTTCGGGGATCTATCGTCCCAAACACTTACAGTGCTCTCTGCGAAATGATTCGCAACATTGATATTATCGGCTCTCAAGGGTTGTCGATTAACATAAGCAAGAGAGTATGGCATTGTTAGAACTTAACAATCACTTAATGCAACTGATTTGAAGATATTTAAAAATGCCGTCAATTAATCAACTTCTATGTGTCAATAAATAAGATTTCATTTTCTGGTAGATTATTTCGGTTTATCTATCTATCTATTTATTTATTTATTTATTTATTTATCTATCTACCACATTGTTTTTTAATAAACAACTTTCAACATTGTTAATCTAATTGAAAGTCTGGAAACAAAAAATCCGTGCGAATCATACATGTAAACAGTTATGAATCCAGCACTGTACTGTGCGTGTGCTAAGATGTTTACCACAAGTTAGTGCAAAATCATTTGTTGGTGTAGCTGTAATATCGTGTACTTTCTAGGTAGCCTGTATGTCATTCTATACTTTACACGTGATCACAATAGATACAAAATATCTCCCAGACCAGGTATTGCCTACCATTTCCGTTTTATTTTTCAGGTTTAGAGTGCCAGAAGGATTCCTAGTAATTTCATGGTGAATTCCGGTGTATGGTGGTACAACCTGGTGGAAACTCGGGCCAAACCCAAAAATGGTTCCGTTAGGTGTGGGATTTATTGACACCCAAACAAAAGTTAACCCTAAAAAAAACGATCTATCAAGCTTAGGATGTTTACTATCAAATAGTTTTAGAAAAATAGCAAATTTCAGTCGACGCCAACTCAAGGGTTCCTGGAGTGGTAAACATTTGTTTTTCATTCTTATTTTCATCAAACACATTATTCTATCGGCTTAGTAGCACTAATTCCTTCAAAAGCAGTGTATCCTGGTCACCAAGAAAGTACTTATCAAAGTGGAAAGTTATTTGATCATTTGGATTAGCGATAATATAAATGCAAACCATGTGCAGCTGGTTTTTTAATGCAGAACTATATAATTGAATTATTTTTTAGCAACTACCTATATATTATTTGTTTTGTGTTAGTATCTTTTTCGCTATAATTCAACAATTTTTCACGCTTTTTTCCGTGACTAAAAGGAAACATGGGGAGTTACTAAAGACCGTGATCCTAGATGTGCAGAAAAAGGAATGAAACCACTAAGCATTTACCGAAGATAGTTTAATACACGAAAACACAAAAGTAGATTTACCGAAATATAGAAGTAATATAGAAGTTGTAGTTGTAATGTAAAAACCTTTGAATAATATCCAGGTTTGAAATCATCAGTCTATCTAATCTAAATTACCAGTAAAAACCTAGGGGCACAGAATGATTTATTAATCACAGAAAATGACTCCTCAGCAGTACTCATTCCATACCCCGCACACAGGACTCAAAACCAGAACGCTTGGTTTCGCACGAGAACGCTTTTAATCAAGACCACTGAGCTGGAACCTAACAGGGTTAGTATATACCTTTAATCAATCCACGTTTTTGCACAACCCTTGATGGATGAGCGAATATGAGTCCCGTACTATAGTGAAATGAACATCCAATGCTTTCAGGTTTTAACTGGTGGTCTAACTTAGACCGAATAATGGTTTCAACTGCCAAAACGATACAGTCCCTATAAATCACTATACTCTTAATTTAGTCTAACAATAAAATACACGTTACTTCTTGACATATTATTTCAAGTTTTACCAGTGCGGAACACATATCGATCTTTTTTTCTATTTATAACGGCCAAAAATTTACAGTGGTCATCCGTATAATTTCGGTTTCCACTTCTTTGTTTAAAATGCTCACACATCAAATGCATAGAGGTCATTGTGAAGTCACCTTTTAAAATATTTATGTGATGTATATTTTGGAGGTTTTGAATTGGGATGGGAAGTACAATAACAACTTAGAATATACAAGTAGTTTTCTCGTAATTATTGAACTTCCAAGATGTTTATGTGAAGAGCCTTAATTCTCCTGTTTCTGATATGATGCGACAGGGAATCCCAGAGAAAAACCTTTGTTTATTGTTTTGTGGCGGATCGAAATGTAAATATTGCAATCCTTCATCGTTTTTCGACAAAAGCAAAATGCATTTAAACGGCTTATACTCCACCTGGTATTTCAATTGTTACGTTTAACTTTTAGGATTACACAAAATATACTCGCAACATCTAGACCAAGTGAAAAATTAATTAAAGAATTTGATATAATTGGGCAGTTTAAAAGGTATAGTGAGTGCTAGCACATATTTTTGAAAGAATGAGTATTTGCTCCATATTTAACATGGAAACAGCAGGGGAACACAGTAGTTGCGGCTTTGGTGTACTCAGTTCTGGATTTTCATATGACCCATTAAGCTTCATGAAAAACAATAGTAAGTGTATTTTGAGCTAAAAAGAATAAATATAAAGTCGATTTTTACAATTTTAGCTGGTATGTATTAGTTATTTTGACGAATATCGTGTAAAGGTGTGACTACGATGTCGCATCACTTCAGTTCATTCTGGATACAGTGACGGTAATCCAGTTTGCAATATTTAGAGGAAAAATCGCAGTTCACTGTCATGCTGGACTTGGTTTGTTTATGTGCATCTCCGCTTAACTTTTCAGGTAGAACTGGTGTAATAATTGCCTGTTATTTAGTATTTAATAACCGCATCTCCGCTGGAGAAGCAATACAATATGTTAGATTCAGAAGGTTAGAAGTATTAAAACATTTTATTTCAATAGATCAGGGTCTATACAAACCCAGAACCAAGTTAGATGCGTATATGAATTTGAAAAGTATCTGAATCTTTATCGAATATATTTCGGATCACAGTAAGTTAGTAATTAAACTTCATTTGATAAAATCAGTAGACAGTTCAGTTTAGAAGCATTTCTTAAACGCCAGAGCGTTTTATTGCATGGACCGGAGAGAAGATGCTTAAGAAATATTCCAAAAGTAAATTACTTCAATTAGTTTTCGTTACATTTATTCTTAAGACAATAAATTTTACTTAAGACTACTCAGTCTATCTGTTGTCTTTTTATGTTGTCACTTTTTAGTTTTATGAATAATAAGCAGTTATTGCCAAGATTAAAATGATTGATAATAGTCAGATCTATAGAATATGAAAACAGTGTACTGATTTAAGTTATTCAGTGTCTTTTGTGTGGGTCATATTTTATGACGCTTATCAATACTCAAAACAAAATATGTGTTTAAAATAACGATAGTATCCATATCCTTCGACCGCTAGGTAAATCACAGATACAGCACTTATTTTAGATTTTCAAACTCAGAGAACATCCTTTTAGGTGTGATTTCTAGAATTTTGATTGCTTCAATCGTGGTTCTATAATATATCCTGTGTATTTTACACGTTGCGCATCAGTGGGTTTTAATAATTTAACGAATAATAAAGGTTGCCTAAATAACTCTTAAAATTCATGTCATCTTTACATCACAAAATAATTCACTTGCAAACAAACTTCCATATTTCATTTGAGAATTCATACTAGATGCACGATAGTTCTAAAAAGGACTCATAGATGTGAAAACTAGCTATACGGCATTTCATTGAAATAGTGTAGAACGTTACAGGTAACTTGTTTTATAAGAATTTTACCATACATTACGTATTAAATTACCGTCGACAATTTTTGCCTTTCCCTTCTGTATGATGCTTTTTTACACATTTGTACCATTTTTTAAAACATTTCAAGTGCGCTATTTGAATTCATGGATAGATGAGCTTTGAAAAGTGCAATTTGCTGATTGAGTTAGCTAAGAATTGGGAATTTATCCAGTCATTTTCCAACTGTCGTAACTCAGTTAGTTATCTGATATACGCACATTAGGTTGCCTACTAGTGCTTGTAAGTCTTGGTTAGTTGGCTTTTAACTCTCATTCTTCTACCAAACATACTTGTGTTTTATAAAAATGATTTGATAAAAAGGTGATTTATACCCTTACTTAAGAATCACGATTCATAGTGTGACAGATACTCAAAAAGTATTATTTCCCAGAAATCAACAAGTTTTGGACTGTCAGTAATGCATATTTGTGTCCAGAAATGCAAATAACAATACAGTTTTTAATAGTTTTGTACCAAATTATCAAACAATAAAATGTTTGAAAATAAACCTCCTGCATACAACAACTTATTTGTACCTAATCCTCATGGACTATATATAAAATTTAACACTAAACAACGAATATTATTTATCAGAGTAACCCTAAATGTTTCTTAACTATAAAATTTGGTATATTGTAAGGTTATTCTATGTCTCCTAAGGAACTTTACCGGCGTAATTAGTTGTAGATTATTGAGAATTTGGTTTATAAACAGTGTTTTGTAATAACAAAACACTTACACTAACCAATTTCTTATTGCTAAAATAATTCCAGGTCAGGACACGTGTTTATTGATCACATTAGATTTTATTTGAACCATGTTTTAAAGCTGTTTAAAGTGAAATATCATATGCCAATGACACGTAACACTTTCGCTTATAAGTTACAAATCTGCCTTTAAAGTTGAGTTCTCATCTAAAAACTATATAATATCAAGTTTACGGAAAGCCGTCAAATACTCTTTAATTATTGATGACTTAAACGTTGATTGTGCTCCGCAATACAAACCATCTTTTAGGGTTTTATGTTGACCATTATGAGATATTTTATTTTTATCGTATTTTTTTCATATGAATGAAGTAGTTTTTTCTAAGTTAAGCGATCACATTTAACTTAGCTTACGGTCACCGGCTCAATTTCCTTTTAAAAATAAATATGCTCCCGTGTACACCTGTTTTAATTAATTAAGTACTTATATTATTATAAGCCTCATTATTATTTACACTTACAAATACATTCCACATCAAAGCATTCTATAAATGTCGAACAGTTTTAACATTTCAGACCGAGTTATATCCTTTTTCTACATTTACACATAACTATGGCGATTACTATTTTTATTTTGCTTATTGTTTAGTATTAATTTTTAAATCTCCTTCATAGTTGGATTAGCCTGAAAATAAGTAAATTGTGACATTTGTAATGTTTAAAAACGAAATAAATTTATTAAGCTATATTTATCTACTCAATTTAAAGCAAAATTTGTTTTGCCTTTGAAACAATCATGTAAAATGCCACTCAACAGGCATTAATTGGTTCGCTGGTTTCTCTCTAAAATCCAAAAGCCCGATCATTTTTTCATGTGACTAAGAAAACTTGTAGCCTTTCATAGTTGTTACGATATAACTAGTCTCATTGTTATAAACGATTGTAGAGAAAGTTCTCCTTTGCTGACTGATCTTATTTGGAAAATAATTGAAATCTATGAAGTAGCGGATAGTTGTTTCATTTTAATATAAAACACCTTGTCAAGCCGTATTTTGTAACCCCATCAAGAGTCAAATCCAAAATCTATAGGCCTTTCAGTGATTAATTAGCCCTCTGACGGCTAAATAGTCATTCAGAGGTTCTTAGTACAGCAAGACCATCATCCCCTGCAATTAACGAGATTCATCTAGAACCCGAAATGATTGTATTCTACTAGTCACAGCTTCCCATTAGAGCTTCAGGAAATACGCCTAAAAGTTAGCCACTGGTACGCACTAAGATCATTCTGTGATATAAAACTACAAAATAATTAATCGTTTAAGGAAAGTTTTACGACATCATATTATAGAATCAATTTTGATTTAATTTAAAGGAAGTACGGTATATGAATCAAAACATTTTCTGGGGGTAATGTTTGTCGACCCTCACATTTGAATTCTATACCGGTCAGTTTACTGTTTCATTATGATTTATTTTGTACGGTTTAACTTTTTCGAGTTAAAAGTCCTTTATCTCTCTGGACTCACGAACCTATTTGAGTAAACAACCATTGAAAATCTGAAAGCAGCGGAAATCCGCAGCTAAACAATTGAAAATCGAACCCAAGATCTTCAGTCTTGCACTCAAATACTAGGAGTCTACTATTTCTATCTAACACTTTCAGATTCAATTATGGTTTGCAGTGGTGGCCAGATTGTGTTTTATGATAGTATGTGATTATCTGGAAGAATGTTGCGTATCAAAAGGTCTTTCGCATTAATTTATTCAAATCTAAAACACACTGAAAGTGTATACTACGGTGGAAGAATTTGGAAAAGATAACGGACATTTGTGACAGTATCGTTATCTAAATTCGGTGTGCGGATCTTGCTCACTTACTTATGCCTGTTACTCCTAATAGAGCATACGCCGCCGACCAGCATTCTCCACCCCACTCTGTCTTGGGCCTTCTTTTCTAGTCCGATCCAAATATTGTTCATTTTTCTTATGTTTATCTCCATTTCCCGGCGTAATGTGTTCTTTGGTCTTCCTCTTTTCCTTTGGCCTTGAGGATTCCATGTGAGAGCTGGCCTTGTGATGCAGTTGTGTGCTTTTCTTAATGTGTGTCCTATCCACTTCCAGCACTTCTTCCTGATTTCTTCCTTCACTGGGATCTGATTTGTTCTCTCCCACAGTAGGTTGTTGCTAATAGTGTCCGGCCAACGGATCCGAAGTATTTTGCGTAGACAACTGTTAATAAACACCTGTATCTTCTGGATGATGGCTTTCGTAGTTTCCCAGGTTTCCGTCTCATACAGTAGAACTGTTTTCACATTTGTATTGAATCTAGCACTTACTATTTAGTGACATAATGAAAAGCCCTCATTTTTGATTAGGGAGAGCTTGGTCATCCTGAACTTACTGGTTTTTTTATATACATTTATTCTATTGTGCGATAAAGTTACACTATAAGATAGCTGAAAGATAAATATTGCCGTGTCTCAGTCTTAAGTAGTGAGAAATGTTTATCGATCATTGAGTGCAACAAAACAAGTTACCTGAGTGAAATAAATTTCCAAAGCACTCGAGTTTTAATTTAAATGACAGATAGCCTGAAGGTCTAAAACGTTTGAAAACTCCTTATCAATGATTGCCAAAAATCCTAAAAATGCGTGTTCTTGTCAATGAGCATGAAATATGTGATTGTGGACTAAGCGACTTTATAAAAAATAATAAACTGTTTATTCATATTCATTTAAAACTGACAAATCGTTCAATTATTTATTCACATTTAAATTACATGGATAGTTATTTTATGTACAGTTTTTTTTACTAATCTTCCCATCTACATAGTTTTTTCTTAAAATAGTATAATTGACTGTGAAAATTACTGTTAATAGATAAGTGGACTGAGCTGAAGACTCTCCGGCCCCTTAACTTAAACTAGTTAAATATTGGAAGATTGAATAACAAGGTAAATAGGTAAATGAATATTAAAAAACCTAGACTGTTATGTATACATACAAAGTATTTAATCAAGATACTATGATTGAGTTAGACATTACATACCAATTTCTTACTCGTGAAGTTTATCAGTCACAAACAATTTAAAACGTGGCACGTATGTGCATCGGTTCGTATTGCCTAATCATATCAAATTAACGATAAGTGATTATCAAAATAAATGCTTAAGTAGTAGAGTTGGTAAAAGTAATAATTTCAGTAGAAAAGATCAAACACAGATAGCATGATTTAAGAAGGAAAAATGAATTCATTGAATATAAAGTCTAAGACATTTTCTAGGATCGAGATCTAAGAGCAGATAAAGAACGGATGGACATGCGCCATTACGATCGATTCTAAGTCATTTCACTTAATGTTTCCAAAACCTGGATGGATTTGATAAATGGAAGAGGCAAACAATTTTACTATTCTGATTACTTAATGTGAATTGATGAGATTATCGCGTATAATTTATCGATCGTAATTGCAGAGAAACCAGATAGTGAATAGATAGTAACTTTAAGATTCTTTTTGTACAACCAGTCAGAATATAACAACGAGAAACTTGTAATACATCTAGTAGATTTCTGAGATATAGAAAACAGTCTGACATTTCTACTTGTCCACTAAAAGACAAGTTACTAATAGTAACTACCAATTACGTCACGTTTTGTGATGTTTATGCTTTTCAGACTCTCTCTCTGTATATATATATATATATATATATATATATATATATATATATATATATATATACTGAAACAAGTTCATTATGTAGTATATCCTCATTTCATAAAACCCGAGCTCATTCATCTGGTAAAATGAATGACTATCATTATTACACAGCGTTGAAGAGTTGGTTTCGCAGAAATGTAGAATATATGAACGTTCAAAAAATGATAATATAAGGCTTTTTTTCGACTCAGAATAAAATGAAAATATTTTTCAAAATAGGTAAATAATTCTTTTATTTCTATTGCTTTATTGTTCAAAGTGCAGTTATTTAACTTTTCTCTAATGAATTTATTTTAAAGTTTACTATTTATTCAACGCTGTACATCTGTTTTCAGTCTTCACTTTTGTCTATAAAACACAATGAAAATAAATCACAAGCTATCGCATTCATAACGAGATACTTTCTCTAGAATGCAACCTAGGTCTAATAATTCTAAATGACTATTTCCAACCACTTGATATTAAAACACAATGTATGTTATGTCGAGACACTTGGACTAATGACTATAATGCAACTTACTCAATAGGATTCGATTGAGAATAGAGACTAGAAAACTTGCTATTGGTTACTACCCCGTGGTCACTCAAATAAGCAATTTTTGATGGACATAGATACTCTAAGAAAGCGGCATAACCATGACACCTTCTGCATTTAGACTGACAGATGTTACGCCTTTTCAATAGGAGATATGTAGAACAGTTTATTATCTCGAGTACAACATGGTATTAACTGACAGACAATGCTACTATTTAAGGCTTAAATGTATTGGAAGCTTTTCAATATGCTTAGTTCCTAGACGAGAACCGAGTTTAATGAAGTTGTAACAACGAGAGTGAAGTGGTCTACTAAAACTACTAAATCACTTTCAGATATGTAATTGATTTTTACTAGCCTATTCTACTAGTAGGGACTAATCAGGACTGTGATATCGAGTCACTTAAATTTCAGGGAGCAGTTAGACTGAAATGATAGAACTTTATAAGTATTTAGCGACAACCAAAAAGATAATGGTTCTTAACCAGTGATAAAAGTAATATCTGGTCATAGAACTCTATTTGTGTCATTTATATCCTTTCCTAAATCTGTTTGATCACTGACAAATATCCATGGAAACAGTTAAATGTTATTTTCGAATTCAGACCATTGGATGTGGCTTTTACACCAAAATCCAAATTCTGTATTTCATCACATTTTAGATTATATACATGTGTTGCAAACTGCTTGTCAGAATCATCGTGACAGGATGCACATCAGTACAAGTAGATTCTTCAAACCATAGAAATCGAATAGTGAGTGATGGAAACAATTGTCAACCAACAAAAAAGTAACCAGTTTACCATTCGTTATTAATGTATATTTACCATGTTTATCTGTGAATAAGAATCATATTTTCACCATGCCAGTGAACAAGTCATTTAATTGTATTTGTGATAATTTTTTCCTTGTGAGAGTGATAACCAATTATCTGCCTTGTATGAGGGAAGACTGTTTTATAACTCCTCTACTGTTTATATTAAAAATTATGACAAGCAGGTGGTTAGATCGAGAACTCAAACGGTTTGATTAAAACCAATTTTAAAATTTTGTATCGAATTAGGTGTATGATGGGAACCTTTCTTCCTTCATTTAACTTACAGCTAGGAATCCTAAGGATTGGTAGTTAACTATATTTTTAAGGAAATGTTTTCGTGAAACACACAAATTCTTATGCTCACCTTTACTTTTCTTGAAAAAATTAGATTTAATATTTTCTGAACATTTTAGTGTAAAATTGTATCCTGAAATTAAACCGTTTTAGACTACAAGTATTTTGAATGTTCCGCATCCTGAGCTTCTTGGTCACCTTATAGATAATCATTTTAAAACGAAGGAAGAACCTATCCTTTTAATGATATCATTGTTTCGGAAAAAGTTTAAATTTAAGAATGAGATACTATTTGTTTGATACTAACTTACACGATAGGCAATTCAGTACTAAACACTTGCTTGTATATAGCTGATATAGAGTACATTTTATTACGGCATCGAACTAGTTGTACTATGAAGTTAAATGTTTCTTACAGTTGTAATTTAATTACTTCTTACTTGAGAATACTGTTCACATAAGTATTATAGATTAACTAGCCAAAATAACTCAAGAAAATAGTTTTCTATGTACTATGTGTGTTTTATACAGTTATCAATATCTTTCACCAATTAAGAAGCTAAAAAATCAATCACTGACAAATTCCGCGGCAATTCGTAAAAACGCAATGATAATGAAACTTAATCTCATTTTGTTTAATCTTTATTGTTTAATAGTTTAGCTAAAAAATTTTATTTCTTTACAACATTTTTAATTGATCATATTTAACTTTAAATAATTTGAACTGATTCAGTATTGTTGTTATGTCCCGATAAGCATAATGAATGGTAACTTTTGTGATCCATTTATGGACCAATACTAAACGTATATTTTTATCGGATAATTGTTAAATAACTGAACTATTCATATTCATGTCCCTCTTATTATCAGCTTCATTTTGACCTATAAACTATTATTATACGATTTACCATTCTTGAATTATGTTCTGTCTATTAGTCACTGCCTCCCACATTCACAGCCACATTTGGCCAAATTTTGTACGAATGTTATTTTTTATTTTATGCTACGTTGTGGTCTGTTTGATTGGTATATAAACTCAGTATGTTTGAAATATAATGATTCATATTGCAGAGGCTGAGATTGGTGTTCTGGACTTAACTGGCTGGACTAGGTGGAAAGTAGGACCAATCAGAACTCTAGGCTGGTCGCACGTGTTTTACGCGTCCTAGGTCCAGTCGATAATTCACTGTCCTCCAATCGGCGGTCCATCATATAACAAATTCACTGCTCTCTACTTGGCGTTATGATTAAGTATACATTAACAAGGCATACAAGCCACAAGTTATAACAATTGTGAAATGTTTTACGAAATATAAAATTACATTGCTGACAAAAATATTGAGTTTTCATTATTTTGTTTAAACTTTTTCTCGAAATATTTTAAAAGCTTTATATTCTGTTATATGAATTTATTCAGCTCACATCATATATATATATATATATATATATATATATATATATATATATATATATATATATATATATATATATATTGAATACATCATTCAATTAATATGTCATTAAAGTTGAAATGAAAAGTTTTTAGATATCTAAATGTTTCAGCTGGATTGAAATCGTAGATTTATCTGAAAATTTTGATTGTATAGATGAATTCCCCGTTTTAGGTCTTTAGCTTTGAATTAATTAATTGTAATAAATACGAAGTTAATTGTTTACATTTGATCCTTAAAATTTAATCCACTTATTTATTTTTAACCCACTAATTGAAATCTATTGACAGACTATAAACACACAGTCTTCTGTCTTAACAAATAATATATCAGAATCATTATCGAAAGTTATACAAACGATGTATTATTTGGTCATGTTCTAAAATCATTATTTCCTTATATTCATTATATTTCATATACAATAATGTTTCTATACAGCCTATTATGATTATATATATAGTTTCATAGTACTTACTAATGAACTTTAAAAGTACAGAATTTCGTTAAGGAATTGAATCAATCATACATTTTAAAAAAAGTAATAATAATTCAGATGATCTTAAAGTACTTAAACATAATAACTAAACATCTAAACAGTTAAGTAACATTAAATCCTAATCAGTATACGATTTGTTCAATTTATTACATTAATTAGTTATAAACTGAACAAAGGCTGATAGAATCAATTGAATGAGAAGTGTTTTAATTATCAAGTTACTTGGATAATTTTTTCTGGTTAGCGTTTTTTTAGTGAGTTAGTTTCCTACGGGATGGGGTCGCTAACCCCATTCCCAACCCTCCTCTTTTCTCCGGGCTTGGGACCGGCAATAGCCCCAGAAGGGCTTCAGGCGGAGTTACGAAAGGTACATTACGACAAAACTACAGACTATGCACATGAACAAGATTTAATTCATGAAAGTGTTAAGTAAATAAACGATTAGTGAACACATAACAGTTATGTAACTTTTATTTTCCAAATGATGGTGGGGTGCTTTTCACGCAAATTGAAGTTTTTATGGAGTTTTTTAACAAAACAAGTTAATTTCAATCATTAAGATCATGAGTCAGTTGAAGCTAGACCACCGTGGAAAACCTGGAAGTACTGGATGGCCGTTTCGTCCTATTGTGGGACTCCTCAGCAGTGCGCATCCACGACCTCGCCCCCTGCGAGATTCGAACCCAGAACCTACTGGTTCCGCGCGCGACCACTTAACCACTAGACCACTGAGCCGGCATCCAACGGTGTTCATGTCTAACTTCAACTAATCCACAATTTGAGCGATACATCCACCATTGTCTTCAGTGCTCGCGCGCGAAACCAGTAGGTCCTGGGTTCGAATCTCGCTGGGGGCGAGGTCGTGGATGCGCACCGCTGAGGAGTCCCACAATAGGACGAAACGGCCGTCCGGTGCTTCCAGGTTTCCCATGGTGGTCTAGCTTCAACTGACTCATGATCTAACCATTGAAATTACTACAATCTCCACAAAACCCCTTCTGATAATAAAACAAGTTAAGTTGAATTAGTTTGAGCATAATTTAGGTAACAAGAATAATCCTTGTCTCTGAGCTTAATGATTTGGAGTACATTATCGATTCTCAATGATTTTTACTAATTAAAAAAGCTTATATACAGGAACGTAATCTTTATCTCATATCAAAATTTTAATTGATCTATAAATCAGAATTAGGTATTTGAGATAAAAAAGATCATAAAAATTACTTATGATTTTGAGTTCAACATATTCATTTACCTAATCATTGTCCTTAAATAAGCTTTGTATGGGTATCTAGTAAATTTATGAATTTTTTAAATAATATTTAAATGTTTTATTGAACAAACTTTACAAATAATAATTCTATTGATTGTTTATAGGCTTTCCACAATAAATGTTACATATTCAGAAGTTTTTACTAGTTGTCAACCAGATGAAACAAGTGAATTGACGAGTACAACTGTAGATTATTCATATGGTATGCTTTGTTCAGAAAATATATGATGACAAGTAAATTTATTGTGTAATTTATTTCCAATGGAAATTCTCTTTGAACCGGTGTATTAGTGGATGTTTTTCTACCAACAAAATCCTTTCTAAAAGCAGTGGCTACTTAGATTCAATAGTTAAGAGGGTAATGTGTTTGGATTCTGAAGTGAAATGTACTGTTTTGGAGTCCCAGAGTAAGCATTAACACTGGGATTCATGCGTCCTGGATTCCATTATCAGGCACTTTTAGAAAAATCGCTTAAAAATTCTTGCAATGTAGTGGCACCGTCGAGGCAATCTGCTGAGGATGATCATGTGTCAAAAAAGGAAACTAACCAATCTGCGTCTTTAATATCAACAACGCTCAGATTCAAAGCTTTTCAAATGACATTAACTGAATCCTTCTTTAGCTACTCTCTTTTGGAACTCATGATTTAGTAAATCGACAAATTGATGTCTCTTATAGACTTTCTATGTTGGATAAAACTAAAGATGTGGTGAACATGAACACCAGTGGGGGAAGTCGAACGTATTTGAAACAAAATTACAGAACTTGTTAATAAAATCTAACAATCATAAAATAAATGCTTAATTTGCAAAATATCCATTAATTGTCTCAAAATGACTCAGACTTCCTTGTTCTTGCATTTTCCATACAAATTTCATTCTGTTTCCATTCTTTACTGTTCGATCCTCTTGTCTCTGCTTCCAGACATTCTCTTTCTGACTAACATCATGTACTACTTATGTCAATATAAGTAGCACGCACCACAAAGAAATATAGGTGATAATAAAAGTTAAAAAATGGTGTTTGTTTCATCATTCGAAAAAAATTCAGATAAGAAAATTTAACAACAAATAATATACTAAATCTTCAAAGTTTATTCTGAAATGTGTCTATCAGTAATTTGTTTCCGATAATAGTTTGAACTGTCTGAAATTCTGCTTACGTACTTATCCTTTCCGAATGTTAGTAAGGTTGATTGACTTTTCTAGGATTCATTAAATTTGATGCTCTTCAGAGACCTGAATTCGGTGCCTTGTGTGGTCATAGGTATAAATTATTAAGAAGTTCCAGGTTAATACGCGACAATCCTCTGTTGTTATCTAATTTTCAATGATAATTTAGTTTATATTAGTTTATGCTTGAATGCATCAGGAAATAATATATACTACAAGTGTTGACTTAAAATCAAATATTATTCTCAGTTTTCAATCTTACATAACTTTGTTCTAATTTAAAAATATGTGTATATTTTTGGTATCAACTGAATTAGTACTGTGTTTATGTGTAAGAGAAAGATGTTTAAAAAAACATAATCTTTAATTGGTTTTATCTTCCGAAAATTATTTCCATAGCCTTAAGATGAATCAATTTTATATTACTGATTTATAAGTTTGTGCTTGCATAATCTGTAGTCAGTTAGCAGAAACTTTGTGTTTTCATTTTTATTGGTTGCTACCATCTTCATAAAATTAATACTTATGTAAAAATCAATCTATTTCACTCAATGCCTTTGTATTGAAGACGCCATTACAGATGTGCTCGTAGTAATGCTTCCTCTATGTTTGATATAGTAATCTGTAATACTTAATTTACAAATATTTAACAATGTGATACTTATTTCTAAATTAATCAACACTTTTCCTGCAAAGGAATATACAGCGATAAGCAAGGCATACAGTTACTTTGTGTCATTTACCTTAATTACTCCGCTGTATTCCTTGTTCGGTTGACTTGGAATCAAAGTATATTGTGTATTTGAAAATAAATTTGTCATATGATCACATTATCACTATATTGTAAGTAGAATACTACGTTTATCAAAGTCCGGTTTTACTGAGATTGATTCATCGTCCACAAAACATTGAACAACAAAATTTAGCAATATAATTTAGAATATCTATACTATTTCGGTTAGGATTTGAAGCTCCTTGTAAATAAAACATATGAGATAATCAGCCAAGAGGTTTTCAAAGTTTTTGAATATTTCCCAACTTCATAACAAATATCGAACTAAATAAAAATATATGATTTTCTATAATAACTTCATTATTTATTGACATATAATTATATATTTTCTTGAAGAAGCATTTCTACACGGAGATATTTGAGATTATTTATCTCGGAAAATTCTAACAATTATTTCTACTTTCTAGGCAGGAATTTTCCAAATCAAAGTGTAGATGATAATCAGTCTATTGGCGCAAGCTCTGTTATTGAAGCTCTGCTTACTACACAATATCCTGAATCTGTTGTGAATGAAACGGAATATTGGAAAGTATGTTCGTTTTTATTCAATTTAAGCAAATATTTTTAAAATTATATCATCTTTTTATTATTATTATTATACGACGTTACCAGACACTCTGAGATACTTCAGTATTGTGTAAAGCATACTTCGTAAATGTTTACTGAGTATATATATCGGTGGAGTTTTTTTTTTAGTTAGTTGGTTTTGGTCGTGGAGCTTTCATTGTTATTCTGAAGAACATCATCAGTACAAACTTCAGATGGAAGTAATGTGTTTGGGTTTCTCTACATATGACTCGCCACTAATCCTGTCGACCTTGACCTTGGTTGGTTATCGTTGACCTTCAACTTGTTATTTTACGCCTCTTTATTTTGATTGTATATTCTTTTGATATTCTTGATCTTATATTTGTCCATGATTTTTCTGATTGGTTGATTTTATCCTCAGTTAGTTCTTCTTACTTACGCCTGTTACTCCCAATGGAGCATAGGCCGCCGACCAGCATTCTCCAACCCACTCTGTCCTGGGCCTTCTTTTCTAGTTCCATCCAATTCTTGTTCATTTTTCTCATATCTATCTCCATTTCCCGGCGTAATGTGTTCTTTGGTCTTCCTCTCCTCCTTCGACCTTGATGATTCCATATGAGGGCTTGTCTTGTGACGCAGTTCGGTGCTTTCCTCAATGTGTGTCCTATTCACTTCCAGCGCTTCTTCCTGATTTCTTCCTCCACTGGGATCTGATTTGTTCTCTCCCACAGTAGATTGTTGCTAACAGTGTCCGGCCAGCGGATCTGAAGTATTTTGCGTAGACAACTGTTAATAAACACCTGTATCTTCTGGACGATGGATTTCGTAGTTTTCCAGGTTTCCGCCCCTTACAGTAGAACTGTCTTGACATTTGTATTGAAAATTCTGACTTTGGTGTTGGTTGACAATTGTTTTGAGTTCCAGATATTCTTCAGTTGTAGATATGCTGCTCTTGCTTTGCCAATCCGTGCCTTCACATCTGCATCAGATCCACCGTGTTCATCGATGATGCTGCCCAAATATGTAAAGGTTTTTACATCTTCCAAAGCTTCTCCGTCAATTGTGATTGGATCGGTACATGCTGTGTTGTATCGAAGAATCTTGCTTTTCCCTTTGTGTATATTGAGATCTATTGCTGCTGAGGCTGCTGCTACACTGGTTGTCTTCTCCTGCATTTGTTGTTCCGTATGCAATAGAAGAACCAGATCATCTGCGAAGTCTAGATCATCCAATTGCATCCTAGCTATCCACTGTATCCCGTGCTTCCCTTCAGATGTTGACGTCTTCATGATCCAGTCGATCACCAGGAGAAAGAGAAAGGGTGAGAGTAAGCAACCTTGCCTGACACCGGTCTTTACTTCGAACGACTTTGTCAACTGTCCTCCATGCACGATTTTGCAGTTTAATCCATCATAGGAATTCTGTATGATATTGACTATCTTCTGAGGCACGCCGAAGAAGCTTACATAGGGTTGTTCTGTCCACGCTATCAAATGCTTTTTCGTAGTCGATGAAGTTGATGTAGAGTGATGAATTCCATTCAATTGATTGTTCCACAATGATCCGTAGAGTTGCGATTTGGTCTGTGCACGATCTATCTTTACGGAATCCTGCTTGTTGGTCTCGAAGTTGGGCGTCTACAGAGTCCTTCATCCTGTTTAACAATACCCTGTTGAAGACTTTTCCTGGTATTGAAAGAAGAGTGATTCCCCTGTAGTTGTCACAGTTGCTGAGATCGCCTTTCTTTGGTATTTTGACCAGAAGTCCTTCTTTCCAGTCTTTTGATACCTGTTCCTCATCCGGGATCTTTCTGAAGAGAGTTTGGAGTATCCTTGCAGTTGCCGCTACGTCTGCTTTCAGTGCCTCTGCTGGAATGCTGTCTAGTCCTGCTGCTTTGCCACTCTTGATTTGTCTGATAGCCATGCTGATTTCCCCAATTGTTGGTGGGCCGACATCGATTGGGAGGTCCGTGAGTGCTGCTTCGATGTTGGGTGGGTTCAGTGGGGCTGGTCGATTCAAGAGTTCTTTGAAGTGTTCTACCCACCTGTTTCGTTGTTCTTCAATGTTGGTGATTATCTTGCCTTCATTGTTTTTCGCTGGTCGTTCTGGTTTACGGTGATTTCCAGGGAGTTTCTTTGTTGTTTCATACAGTTGTCTCATGTTTCCTTATCTGGCAGCCTTTTCCGCCGTCAATGCCAAATCTTCCACATATTTACGTTTGTCAGTTCTGATGCTCCTTTTCACTTGCTTGTTTACTTCTGTGTATTCAGCCTGTGCCTTGACTTTTTCTGCTCTTGTTCGACTGGTATTGATTGCTGCCTTCTTGTTCCTCCTTTCTTGAATCTTATCAACAGTGGTCCGTTCCTTGTGACGTGACGGTGCTTCCTGTGGCCCAGAACCTCATGACATGTTGAAGTGATTGCCTCTTTGATCCCTTTTCAGTTGCTCTTTATGGTAGTTCCCTCTTTCATTGAGTAGATCATGAAAGGCCTGGAACTTTTTGCTGAGAACTATCTTGAATTTATTGAGTTTGTCATTATCCCGAAGAAGAGCCGTATTAAATTTTTGTGATATTGTCCTCCCCGTTGTCCAGTGCCTCTTGAGTTTCAATTTCATCTTGGCGACCAGCAAGTGATGATGTGATGCTATATCGGCTCCTCTCTTTGTTCTCACAACCTCCATCGTCCTCCTGAACTTTTTGTTGATGCAGATATGGTCGATTATGTTCTGTGTGGTGTGATCCGGTGAAGTCCATATGGTTTTGTGGATGCGTTTATGTGGGAATATAGTGCTGCCTATGACCAGTTTATTGAAAGCACAAAGGTCTACAAATCTTTCACCATCTTCGTTCTTTTCTCCCAGTCCGTGTCGTCCCCTGATGTCTTCATATCCGGTGTTGTCAATTCCAACCTTGGCATTTAAATCTCCCATCAGAATAGTCAGGTCTTTTGTTGGGCACTTCTCGACGATTGACTGCAGCCTATCGTAGAATTGATCTTTAGCGTCTTCATTGTAGTTATTGGTAGGCGCGTAGCATTGGATGACGTTCATTGTAATCCCCGTTTGCTTTGTTTTGAAGCAGGCTTTGATGATCCTTGGTCCATAAGATTCCCATCCCATAAGTGCATTTTGTGCTTGTTTAGACAGCATCAATGCAACTCCTTGTGTATATGGAGCATTTTCTTCTTCATGTCCGGAGTATAACAACAGCTTCCCTGAAGCTAGTCGTTGTTGTCCAACTTGCGTCCAATGTGTTTCACTGATCCCAAGCACCTCCAAATTGTATCTCCTCATTTCTGCAGCAATTCGGAAAACTCTCCCAGTCTCCCACATTGTGCGAGCATTCCATGTACCTAAATAAATGGTTGCTCTGGTTGTCAGAAGGGGCATTGGCCTCGTGACTTCCGAAGAAACTCGGCTTTCATCATGAGGCGTCATAATTCTTCGAAACGAAGACCTCCTGACTCACAGGGCAGAGTTTAAATGGTTTGAATAATTTTTTCTGGTTAGCGTTTTTTAGCGAGTTAGTTTTCTACGGGATGGGGTCGCTAACCCCATGCCCAACCGTCCTCCTTTATCCGGGCTTGGGACCGGCAGTAGCCCCCGGAAAGGGACTCCAGGCGGAGTTAGTTAGTTCTTCAGCTATCCTGATATATTCTTACTTGTCTATAATAACTGTAGTGCGTCATTTTTCCGCTTGAACTAGGACGATATCTCCTCTGGTTATATTACTTGAGGATGAAAGCGTACATAAATCTAATCAAAAGGTTAGACAACCAAATCTCAAAGACTAGCTTGTCAAATGGGAACAAATATTGAAATAAAATCAATGGGGAATGAAATCCAATGGACAAGTACTCCCTCGATTGTAAGGTAGACAGAAAATACACAAACTAAACATCTCACTACATTTAATTGTATTATTCCACAGAACACCAACATACAATTTATCGAGAGAAATTTCAAAAATATTGAACTATTTAGTGGATTATATCTGTAATATCCAATGAGCAGAAAAACTAGATTTTCTGACGTTTGGTGGTTATTTATTCTCTGAAGAAGTGACTTACACTAAGTCACGAAACGTCAAAAATTGTAATTTTTCTATTCATTGGGATATTACAAATATTTTATTTATTTATAACAATCTACCCAATGCTCAATTTATTCGAGATTATCAAATCAAATCGTGATAATGTTACCTATTTAGTGGATTCATCAAATCTCACATAGAATCCTTATATAAGCTTAAAGAGTTTCAGATTAACAGCGACGAACTGATGATATAATCTCTTTCTCTCTCTCTCTCTCTCTCTCTATATATATATATATATATATATATATATATATATATATATATATATATGCTTCACCCCAATATGAGATTTTTAATCGATTAGAAATAAAGTTAATTGACTGACAATATGATACATCACTTTTATAACCTCTTGTGTACACACACAACCCAAAATGCTGACCTTGAAGCAGCACTAGATATGATGTTCACATACTTGTTTACGTTTTTATAGAATTAAAGTTTGCATAATTTTTTGGAGGAATTAACGATTTTCAACTTTGAATAAATTAACCTAAATAATAACAGACATCTGAGTAAATATGCTTACTAAAATATAAAATATATTTTTCTGAATCTCACATTAAGCAGCTTTCATACAAGTACATATGTTGGAAAGTACATGACCAAGTAAGATACAGGTGAAAGAATACTTGAGTTTATAACTGTCTGTTCGTCGTGTTTTATAGGATACAGACGTTTTAGATAGACTTCTTTATAAGTGAAAATGAATACACAACTCCAAACTATTTTATTTGATTACACAAAATATTCTCACCAGTACTGTATTTTCCTCGTTGTTTAAGCTAAGTAATTCTGTGTGAAATATTTAGAAAAGTTGCTGAATAACTTACATTCAATGATGTAATGTTGAAAGGACTGATTCTAGTATTCCACCGCAATAATACTTGTGCAACTAGCTTACATAATTACTGATCTAGTGATCGCTAGAAAGTAATGTACCAAAAGTGAGCTGTGATTATTGAAGGATTGAAGAGAGACATTCAGCTACGTTACATATGCTTTTTATTTTAAAACACCTTTGAATAACTTACACATTTGTTTAAGTCTATTATTGTTATTGTGTTTAAATGACGCTCAACAACACAGTCAAACTTGTCTGACTGCGTGTCAATTGATCTTGTAAAACCCACGTTTTGACCCCCGAAAACGTCAACCAAAAGTATTCAAAATACATCTGAATACAATAAACTTTTTTTCTAATTATGAGTATATATTTTAAGTTTGTGACTTGTTTCATAGAGTTTTAATGACAAATCACTTTACTTTACATGACAGAAAAAATTCAACAATGATCCTGAAGCCTGGGATGATTTTGACAAAACTTCATTCAATGCATTGGTTCTGGTAAAACTAATAGATGATTGGTTGACACATTTAAAGGTATGACCTAACATTTTTAAAAAGAAACTATAAACGATTTATACAATCACGTTCATAGGAAATAGCAATGCATTATAATACTGCTTATAGTTTAAAAAATTGGTTGATGGACAAATTTCATTCATCATTACAGACCTGATCGTGATATTGACTGTTATTATTTAATAATGAATCGGTATATATCTAATCTTTTCAGGACGTCTGACGTTTTAAGCAGAGATAGATGGTGTTCTTTTTCGAACTCCTCAGCTCGATGTACTTAGATCCCAGAGTTTATGTTTACTCCGAGACTCCATCTCAGTGCCGATTTTTTGGAAGCCATCACCTTATCAACTTAGCTACTAGTTACAGACAGCCACTGATTTATATATTAGGGTGAATTTTAACTGATTTTTATCGGTTGTTTGAATCTTCCCATTGATATTTAGGACTGCGATTATCAGTCTCTTTTGACATATGTGCATTGAGATAATCCGCACAAGAATCACATATGCCAGAAGAAACTGATCAATTTTAATCCTAATCATCAATGGAAAGATCCAAACAGTCAAACTATATATGAAAATATGACTGTGTTTTAAAACAAAACCAATTTTAATTCCAATCAAATAAGGCTTATTTACACAATCTGAGTAGTTTATACATCTTAGTCAAACAAAAGTTTTGAATATGATACAGTGAACTCAATTGTTTAAACTTAATATAACTATTTTTCAGTAAATTAACTAGCCCCATAACATAAACACATGAGATCAGTTTGTTTGTATGGTATTTAAATTTCAGTTTTCACAATCGTTTTTTTTGTTAAAATTGGAACTAATTACATGATATTACTCTACTTCCATCAAATTACAATATGACCATTGAGTGATGAAGGTCTTAAAGTAATCAGTAGTTAGTTTTTAGAAATTATTTTAGTGTTAGTGAGCACTCACTATCATGGTTTATTTTAGTGGAGAACTTATATATTCTTTGCAAACAGTGTTATTAAATCACCTAGGTAAAAATCACATCGTTTTCTGACATATTTTTATTAGTTAGGACATTTTTATTGTTTGCAATTGGTGATTAAAGCCGAATTATTCATTGATTGCTTTATTAACTCATCACAATTGACCTTTGTGAATGATATGTGTAGTCGTTTGAATACTACTTTGTTATATCTGGTCGTTGCTGATTGTTGAGTCGGAAGACGCTTATCATTTATGCTCGAAACAAGGGACCTCTGCAATTCCCACGACGCGAAAGTAAGAACACAAGACTGGTATAAGTGGAGATTTATTGACCCCTAAAACACAACGACGACGACTCTAGTCAAAAATACACTCATTTATATATTGATTCGTAGACCCATTTTGGTTAATAATTTGGATGAAATGACATTTATAAAAAACACACAGTTATAACAAATCTTATGCTGAGCATAGTTCATGTCAGTTTTTAATAGAAGAATATCGTATGTTATACAATAAAATACCATGTGTGTAAACAAAACCTGATACTACACTGAATAATCATCACATTAAATTAGAACGGAAGTAATGTTGAACAAAACTCATAATGAGTAAATCAATCGAATTTTAACTTTTCTTCTCGTCATATCAGTGAACTACAATAGATATTGTATCTATTAAGGAAGAAGTATTAACCGAGCACTTAGTAATCGATTCAATTCTTAGTGTTGGCCACATTCTATCGAACAGTTTTCAATGTGACGATTGGTTTAAGTGAGTCAGCACTTGAGGGTTCTCTGTTTGATGCTTATTAATCATAAAAAACCCAGAAAGGTGCCTTAGACCCAAGTTTCATGCTGGTCAAAACTCACCAACAAAGGACGTCTATATTCTTGGGGAGGTTGAAATCCTTTGCGGGCTTTCAGTACGTGTTACCCAGCGTTAAACGTGGAAAAACGTTATCACTGGGTGATTTGGGCTGTAATTGATGGCTTTAAGCATCAAAATTTTTATACTAATCGATTATTGAGTAGAAACTAGTGTCATGTTCAGTTCATTAGTTGTGAGTTAATTCCATAGATTAAGCAAAATCTTTTCAAGGTACCTTTTATTTGAAGAATTGTTCATTGGAGAACCGACTGTTGTTGGTTAATATCAATCAATCACCACAATACCTTATATGAAATGTAACTAACCTAACAGCGTACTTGATAAGAATCTAATATAAATTATTAATAATTTTACGTTATTTGACAACCGAATGAAATGTTTCTCTCAAACCAATTGTGAAACACAAAACAGTGTAAATGGTAGTTGGTTGCGGTGTTGTGCTAAACTTTATACTGGTTTTAATGACAAAAATACTGAACTTGCTATAAACGCATCCAACACATACTTTTATCTGAATTCTTTGATAAGTAGGATTTAGATCAACATTATAATGACAAATGATTCATGATTCTTCTATTCTAATCAACAAACTAGTTGTTTTATAAGTATTATTGTAACTCATTCAACCAAGCGAAAGTTTATATACTCAATTTCGAACTACACCGTTTGTATAATAACTATATGTTACGAATCGAATCATCAAACAAACTTAGCTAAACCTTTATCATAACCTTCAATCTGATGATTGAAAGCTGAATGCTTTAACCACTAAACCGCAGTTCCATAGCTATTTTATGCATATTGAGACTTCAAATATTTCGGTTTCTATCAGTTTTTGTTACTTTTATATCTCGTTGTTAATTTGTTATGACTGGTCGTCGCTGATTGTTATGTTGGAATGGCTTATTACTTTACTTATAAAACGAGGAACCACTGTAATTCCTACGAAGTGAAGTAAGAACACAAAGACTGTTACAAAAGAAGATCTATTAAACACAAGACATGACGACGACCCTAGTCGAAAATACACTCATTAATATATTGATTGTTTACCCAATTCGATTATTAATTACCATAATATCATGTATATGGAAAATCAAATGATGCGTGTCATGCTAAGCATAGTTCATGTTATGTTAGCACAAGAATATCGTATCTTTAACAAACATCACACTCAAATTAATGCTATATCGAATAAAATATCACACTGGAAAAGAAAACAAATACTACACTGAGTAACCATCACGTTGAATTAAAACGAAAGTAATATTGGACAGGCATATTGGTGTCATTGATTTTGACACAACATTACAACTTTGGTATTTATCGAGAATTTCTCGATTTTTTGCAATATAGTATGACCTCACTAACTGAAATATTGGATAAATGTTTATCATTAATTTAGAATGATTCGTTTTTCTTAAAAATAAATTACTTGTAATTATTGTCAGTAGTATTTCCTTGGATAAATTTCGTTATCAGCTGTCAAGAATTACACACTTATATACGTCTTTTATAGTCTCCAGTGCTTCGAATGCAAGACTTGCTCAGCTTACAACAAAATCCTTTATTTGAAGAAGATATATTAACTTCTCTAGAGATTTTCGAGAAGGTAAGTTACAGTGTAGCGTATTTACATGGGTAACTTTCATATTGATTCTTGTTCTAACAAATATAAGCTCTTGTCTGAGTATTCGCCATATTTTTTTGAAATATTGGTCAAAGATCATGAGCATAGATGGGTGGTGGCTAGCAGTGGAATCCAGGACACATGTTTCGTCTTATTTGGGACTCATCAGCTAGGTGTAGCTGCATCCTGAGATGAACATCAACTTTGGGATACAGGTAAATCCAGCTGACGAGTCCCAGATAGGACGAAACAGGAGTTCTCGATTCCACTGCTAACCACCATCCATCTTTCCTTATATTGCTTATGACTGAAGGTAATATCGAGGCAATCCGCACAGGATGCACACGTGCCAACAGGGGACTGATCAGTTGCAGTCCTAAACATCGATGGGAAGATTCAAACAAACAGTACCAAATGAATATATTGGTGAAACATTTTTAAAAATATATATCATTTGTTTATGATTTGGTGATATTAGGAAGCTGTTTCATGCAACTATGAAATTATGGCATTAATTGTTTGCGAAAAAATTATTAAGATTTATACTTCGGCTTTGAGAGATGATTATATGTGTTCTCTGAATATTGTAATTGAATCTTCACTGCGCTATCAAAAATTAATAAATGATAATATCAATTCTTAGTTAGCCAACAATTGTAACTGCTTTCAAGTTGCATTAAAATTTGACTAAGTGTTCATTGTAACTGTGTGGAGTCTTTCCAAGAATTTGAAGTTAGTCATTTTGTCAACATGTTGAAGTTAAATGGTATATTTCAAGTAAAACCAAATAAATTGTCAATTGGCAATGTGATCTTATGGTTTTCCATTATTAAGAACAAATCTTTACTAATTGCATTATTTTATTTTTAGTTAAGTATGAGCAATCTTATCTAAATGTGATGTTTTCACTACTTGTGCAATTTTGAATGTAATCAGTATGCAAATTATTTCTCTGAAATAACTGATATTATTTTGAATTAATTCCGATTGATTTTTTAGTGTGAATTACTTCACCACATTCCCTGTTATTTGAATGATTAAATATTCTATTAACTTTCTAAGATCAATTTTATGCTGAACATTTAAAAGCCAATAAGCTGAAGTTAGTCTAAGTTTTTTATTCGGGATTTATTTGATATAACAGATAAAATTCCATGATTTAGTCTGTACTCTTCCTTTGGAAAATAATAACTAATTTTCACTCGAAGAAAAATGTTTTAATCTTTTCAGTGAGAACATTATCAGTTTGAAAAATGTAACTTCTGATATGGTTAGTAGTTCAGTTTTACGGATTAGTTATTTCTTTGGTGTAAGTAGGGCTATGAGAACATGATCACATTACCTTTCGGATGAAAATAAGCCATGATTCACACGACTAACCAACTTAATAAACTTAAGTGATCTATGGATTTTACTTATGTGGACGTCCAGGAATTGCGTCACCCAACTACCGGTATCTAAATCGACTGGAGCAAAATGTGTAGATGTATCATGTAGTGCTAACTTCATATGATTGATTTTCATTTCTATCTATTGTATGATGTCTGTAAGATAGAACCTCCCAAGTTTATATGAATTATCAATTTTGCATATTAAGTCAATATATGGGTCAGTGTTTAAGTAACGTTTAGTGAACGAATGAACTGTTTATAAAAAAAAGAGTCCCTAATAAAGCGACTAATATATCGACTACTTTGTTTACTTGAAATGAACGTGTTGTTAACATTAAAATTGAGTTAAACAGCTTATCATTTTGTCTTTCTTCTGAACATTGAAATATATTTAGTAATATTGTGAGTATTGAATTAGTCTGTATTTTTGCGCGTATAAATAGAAGTTTCTAAAGACAAAATTAGATTAGTTTTCCTCAGCATTATTGAGATTATTCGGTTTTTGCATAACCATTTCGATGAATTGCATAACCATGGGTAATTTAATCTAAACATACAACTCAGTAGCGAATTGATCGATCTGCTAAACAAGTTTCCAACTACATTACGGCTGTGTAAAATACTCTATGAAAATAGAAGTTCTGTATTGGCTAGAGATTTTGGAGTCACTGCCTACGTACTGTGGAACAACTGATAGATCAGTACCGAGTTTAGACGCAAGGTACTAGGTAACTAACAAATTGATTGACGAGTTTATTCTTTGTCGAATGAGATGGTTTGGATATGTGTTACGTAAACCTAACTCTTACCTATTTCGAGGCAAAATTTTTGCTAGTGTAAAAGTGCGTAGGAAAAAACCATGGTAGCCCAAACTGAAATGTGATATCGCTCCATGAAACCATGGTTTGTAGGTCTGAGTCAAGTTTTGCGGGCAAATTAAAGTCAGAGCTACCCGGAAGGTAATCCAAGTTGGTATTAGTTGTTCTGACTTTCTTTGTATGTATATCGTCAATGGCATAGCTACACATATACACGCAAGTATCGGCCATTTTAGACGATGCAACACAAAATATAGGTGAAAGCTCATGCTTCTGCAAGTTTTGTAGGGGTAATTTGCATTTGGGTGTTGTACAACCTATAGCCTACTTACAGACTCTAATCGTTAAATGCAACTGCATTCATGAAAGTCAGCTTTAACTTTAATCCATTTGAAGCTAAACGATCAGTCATAGTATCTTTAACTCAATAAGCTGTTTAACAGCGAACTAATTATCATAATATGGATAGATTTAACAAACATACACTTTTAAAAGTAACAATAAATGTGACATAAGTCAGGGTGAAAAACATTAAAACACCAAGTATACAGAAGCCTATTGATAGCAGTATCACAGGAATTTTTTTATAAGTCATTAAGGTAATAATAGTGATAGTTTGTAATGTATTTGTGTAAGTGTTTTGTTTGTGGCAACGAAACACCATTAGTTATTTAACATACGTTTGACTAAGTAAAGAATAGAGAAGTGGGAATAATAAGATTGCATAAACAGCATGTTTCAGGCAGATGACTGCTTTCACAAATTTAAGTAAAAGAAGGACAAAGTTAATTACTGAGGTGCTTACAAAAATGATCTACGTGACAACAAAGCTATAAGTGCGCCTATCTAGCTAATAGATTCTAATAGTAACGTAACTTCGTGCCAAAGTTATCCAACATAGAGTAAATGGTTGAACAACTAGGTTCTCAAAGTGATTACTGGTAAAGTTAGGCAAAGGGTACTAAGGAAAGATAGATAACTGGTTGGTGAAACTGTGAATTGCGTCGACTGAGATGACTAGAACGAGCTTCACTTATGCCTAATTGCCCACCTACTAAATGGTAATCTTAGGTGGAAGAAAGCTAGAGGTAGCGAAACCAAAATGTAGCATCAATCCACGAGGTCACTGACTGTGGATCTGAGCCAAGTTTTTAGGTGCAAAATACCTGGTTGAAGACAAATGATGTGAAATGACTCATGATCGGTCATAACAACTCAGTTGTATTCACCCTTTATCTTGAGTCCCAGCGTTCCTTTACACATAACTTTTTTGTACTTTTGAATCATATTCTCAATGTTTTGTCTTCTTCGTTACCTTTTCTACTATATTATTTTGACTCTTTCGCTATCTGACTTATTAATTTTATCTTATTTTGCTATTGTGCTATGGCAACTTGAGCCAAAATACATTTATACCAAGCTCTGCGTTGATTATGACTGATTAACTAAAAGAACTTTGCTATTGTGACATCACATCATTTTTTGTCATTTTCATAACTGACTTTTGCTTGATTATAAAATATTAAGAAAGTTCTCATTGCGTAATGTATAATAAAATACACAAACAAATAATATAGTTGTTAATTAGATTCTTCTCATGTTTTACTTCAATAGTATGTTGATATTTTTTACAGATCAACTTATTCCATTCAAAGTGAGATCAGAAAATCTCGTTGGTTGATAAAATTATGTCTGAATGTGTAAATATCAAGTTAACTCCTTATAAAAATACTTAGATGATGATCAGATTGTTAACCAATTCTGAGCAACGAAAAAATCCAATGGTGAATGAGTTGTGTGTTGCTATTTATTTTACAATTCAAAGTGTTTATTTTTTAAATATAAACTAAAGTATTGAATCATATATTAGGTTACTGGCATCATTGACAAACTTATTTTCAATAGTCGAAATCATGAGTCAATTGAAGCTAGACCACCATGGTTAAGCGCTGTAGGTTCGAGATTCTAGTCTCGCGGGGGGCGGGATCGTGGATGCGCACTGCTGAGGAGTCTCATACTAGGACGAAATATCTGTCCAGTGCCTCCAGGTTTTCCATAGTGGTCTAGCTTCAATTGACTCATGATTTCGACTACTGAAATTACTAACATCTCCACAAAACCCCTTCTGATAAAACTTATTTTCTTTAAAATCTTTTTTAGCCAGTCGTTTGTTTAATGAGTTTATTTGCCAAATTAATAACTCATCTTCAACCTTTATCTGAACAAATGGAATATTTACTGATAGAACGTGTTTTAAATTGGTTATGTCAAAAACAATCGAAGTCTTTAAACATTACAACAAATACGAAGAAGTTCAGTGAACAATTTAGATGTTATCATACAAGATTTGATCATTTATTGCAATTAGCATTTAAAATAATGCATTTTTTAATTGGATTTGTAAAATCAAAGTGTACATTAATTGAAAGTGTTGATCTGCTGTCTAATTCTTTGCCTATTAGCCAATAGAAATAATCTAATAATTGTATACTTTGTTTGTAACAAAACAGATGAAAGTAATAATTATTTTATTAGTGTTGATAATTGATTTAATAGAAAAAGAATTAGATTACTTCATAGGATTTCTTTTTAATTGTGGTTATTAATGTAGACTATTGGATGTCAATTCTGTTAATTGAAAGCTAAACGCTTACCTGAAGTTTTGATTTCGCTCAATAGTGGGGTCGTGTATGTAAACTGCTAAGCAGTCCAATGTGCCGACAAAATAACCCACAGTAATCATTGGTTTTCAATGGTTATCTATCCGAAACGAATTCGTTATGTGAAAATACAAAATTGTATATAAGTTGGATCATTTGATTTTTTATTCGAAGTAAACATATTTTGACTAAGATAAATTTCATAAATGCTGGTAATGTTTCCACCCTGAATAATTGTGACCAATGGTTTCATTCAATGCTGTGCTATTGAAAAAAGCATATCCATATCTGAAAGCTGTCAAAATATGCTGATTTTTTAATTGTTACAAAGTAATTTTGTCTCTGAGTTCCAGTCTCTGCAATTTTCGCTAGTCCTTTGAATTTAGAATCTTAAATTAGTAGGAAATTGTTTTTTAGTCCTAACTCTACCAGTAGCTCTTCTAGGGTTATTACCGGTCCCAAACCCTGTTAAAGGAGTAAGCTTGTGTATTGGATCAGCAACCACATCCCGTAGAAAACAACCTTGCTAAGAAGACATTATGAAGACGTTGGGAAGTATACAGGTAAAACAATAAATGAAAGTTGTTACTCAGATGATGTTGTAATTCCTTATTCAGAAATAACTCAATTATGATACTCTTATTGTCATATTCAAGATTAGACGACCATCACTTCATGCGGAATATCCGGACAATGTAGGAGACCGGGAGGATCAATCAAATAGCTACGGAAATAGAGAGATACAACTTGGCAGTTCTCGGAATAAGTGAGACCCATTGGATGCATTCTGGACAGAAGAGATTAGATTCGGGAGAGGTCCTGTTGTATTCTAGACATGAACAATGAAATGTTCCGCACATCCAGAGTTGTTGAGGCTATTCAAAGAAGTTCGAAAAGCACTTATAGGATGGAAATCTCGTGGATCCAGGTTCATCAAAGTATACTTCAAAACAAAGAAGGGTTCACATTGAATTATCCAGTGCTATGCATCCATGAATGATAGCAATGAAGACGATAAAGATCAGCTTTATGAGGGGCGGTAGTCCAACAAAGGACCTGAAAATCCTGATGGAAGACCTAAACGCCAAAATCGAAATGGACAACAACGGATATGAAGACGTCATGGGACGACATGGACTAGGAGAAAGGAACAAAAATGGGGAGAGATTTGCACATTTTTGTGCATTCAACAAATCGGTTATAAACAGCATAATATTTCCACACAAACGCATGCACAAAACTACATAAGTCTCACCTTACCACACCACGGAGAACAAGATAAATCATATTTGCATCAGTAAAAAATTCAGTAGGTCAATGAAAGACGTGAGAACCAGGATAGGAGCTGACATAGCTTCAGATCTCCACCTGTTTGTGGCCAAGTAGGAACTGAAGCTAAAAATGCATTAAACTACTGGAGAAACAGCATTACAATGGTTTAATACAGCCTTCCTTTGAAATGCTGACAAACACAACGAATTCAAAACAGCTTGCGGCAACAGGTTCCTAGCTTTACGGGTTCTGTTGAAAGAAGAGGAAACTACTATGGAGGAAAACTGAGAAGCAACTACAGACAATAATTTCGACGTATCAGGAATTGCTGGACCACAAGTAGCCAAACAACTGTAGAAAAAGCTAAGGTACTGGTCAAATACCCAGAAGAAAATAAGCAAGTGAAGTAGAGCATTAGAGCTGACAAGCAGAAATACGTAGCCTCGACAGATGAAAACGCTGCAACAGAAGGAAATATGAGACAACTCTATGATTAGCAGGTAAATATAATAAGTCAGAGAGAACAGTCAAGGACAAGGAAGGGAATCCAATCACTGTGATTCAAGAATGGAGGAACAGCTGAGTGGGACATTTTGAAGAACTCTTGAATAGTCCAGCTTCACTGAACCCACCGGATATCGAAGAAGCAGCTACAGACCTTACTGTAGATGTCACTCTACCGACGATCGAAGAAATCAGCGTGCTCATCAGAGAAATCAAGAGTAAGAAAGCAGCAATGGACCAGACAATGTACCAGCGGAAGCTCCGAAGTCAGACATAGAGGTAACTGCAAAGATACTCCATGTCCTATTCAGGAAGAACAGGTGCCGACAGGCTGGAAAGGACACGTCGAGATACCAATGAAAGCAGATCTGAGAAACTGTGAGAACTATAGAAAAATCACACTACTGTCAGTAACAGGAAAGGCTTTCAACAGTGATTCTGAACCGGATGAAGGACTCGTTAGACGCCAATGGTGCACATGTGCTCCAGTATCCTGCGGGAACAAATGGCGTATGAACCAGTTTCTTGGTCACCGGCATCCATGAGACTGCATCTTCTCACGATGCTCCACTGCCTTGTAGGTTAGACCTTTAGGTCAAAGGCTCGGGGCGTGGCCCCCTAAGAAAACCACTTGCTTCGGTCTGGGCACCCGAGCAGTATCTCAGCCCACACACAAAAACATGATGAACTGTCTACTTATGGAAAATATTCTTTTCGCTCCGATTTACAATGAAATGACTCGCATTATTATTATTTACTTCGTCAATTATTCACTCTCTTTTATTCCTACTCTGTCTATCCTTATTTTTCGACTTATACAGCAGCTCACCTATGGTGGAAATTCGGCTCTATCTAAACGTTCTCGAGTCACTGTCTGGTTGAAAATTGTATGTTACCACCGAATACGAGTACTGAAGCAGTTTTTCTGAAACCACGTGCACCATTCAAACTGGCTGCCTTCAACGTTCGCACGTTTATGCAGGTCGGACAACAGATAGGACTGGCTATGTCTTTGGAAAGTCTTAATATTGATGTTTGTTGTCTATCCGAGACACGCATTCAAGACTCTGGTGAAGTACTACAAGTTCGCTCTCCATCTGTCACTTCAAAAAGCTTGTTTTATGTGCGTTTATCCGGGGACCCTGTGGTATCTTCGTCTGGTCTTGCAGGTGTTGTTGTCGCACTAAGCGCAAGAGCTGAGGCAGCACTAGTTGACTGGATCCCCATTTTCGTCATCTCCGCATATGCCCCGACAGATTGCAGCCCGGATGCAATCAAGTATGAATTCTACCACCAGTTTACTGTCCCTCTCCAGAAAGTGCGTCCGACAGATATTGTAGTACTAGCTGGAGACTTGAATGCTCAGGTCGAGTGTCTAGACACAGAAGAGAATCGTTTAGATGGCCGATGGGGACTCGTTGGTCGCAGGACAGATAACGGGGAACGTCTACTGCAACTATGCACAGACCACAACATGTTTCTGGCTAGCACTAACTTTCGGCACAGTCATCGCCGATGTGCCACCTGGCGTCCCCCTTCTGCATCTCAAGCCTGGACTCAGATTGATCACATTGCGATCAGCTACCGCTGGCGTGGCTATGTACAAGACTGCCGCTCCTTTTGGAATACCTATCTGGACTCTGATCATGCCCTGGTCTGAGCCAATCTTACCTTACTTTTCAGTGGCCAACGAAGTGATCGCCACCAAAGGATTGATGTTAGCAAGCTGGTTGAGACTTCTGTTGCTAGTAAGTATCGAACCGAGCTAGCTTCTAGGCTAGCTACCATTCCACCGAAAAGTATAGATGAGCATTGGTTGCAATTGCATGACGCCATGAAAATGGCGGGTAAAGTCTGTTGTGGATTCGCGAAACGTCCCACTTATAAGCACTGGGTTTCTTCTGGTTCCTTAAAACTCATTGGAGCCCGTCGGTCTACTCCGGGTGACCATGAATTTGACCACAAACGAAGGATGTTACGAAATGAAATCGGGCAAAGCTTGCGTAAGGACCGAGAAGCCTGGTGGTCGGAGTGTGCTAATGAGCTGGAAGCAGCAGCTGCATCTGGTAATTACCGGAAGCTCTTCCAACTCATCCGAGCCACTGGCAGCAAGAAGTCTGGTGTGAGCGAAACAATCTGCGAGGATGACGAAGTGCCAATCACTAACATCCATCGACGTCTTGGACGATGGGCAGAATTCTTCGAAGGGCAGTTCAAATGGCCTGCTGCTCCGGCAACATCGGTCAGACTGTCCTGCCCTCCATGGCCGTTGACGACTGATCCACCAAATGAGGCGGAAGTCCGCAAGGAACTCCAACTCTTGAAACGCCACAAACCACAGGGCCCAGATGACTGAGGGACTGACGACGTTGTTTACAAAGTTCTGGGAACTTGAGAGTGTACCAACGTCATGGAGTGAGTCGATAGTTGTCCCTATCTTTAAAAAGGGTTCACGTCGTTCCTGTAACAACTATCGGGTGATAAGTCTACTTCCGATTGCGTCCAAGCTATTGGCTTCCGTTATACTTCGTAGGTTGTTCAAAACCCGAGAAGGATTGACTCGCGAGCAGCAGGCTGGGTTTCGTTCCGGTCGAGGATGTAATGATCATATCTTCACCCTCCGCCAAATGTTAGAACACCGCCATGCTTATCAAAGGCCAACAATCGTAGTGTTTCTTGATATCAGGGCTGCCTTCGATTCGTTGGATAGGACTGTTCTCTGGGATTGTCTATTGAAGAAGGGTGTGCCTGAGAAGTTTATTAACATCCTAAAAGCCCTATACACAAACTCCTCAGGCAGGGTGAGGGCATACAACCACCTTTCTTCATTGTTCCATTCCAGCAGTGAGGTTAGACCGGGTTGCCCAATCTTACCATTCCTTTTCAACTCTGCCATCGATGACATTCTGGAAACAGCTCTGATGGATGTAAGTAATCGTGGTGTGGATCTGTTGCCTGGAGAAAGACTTCTTGACCTTGAGTATGCGGATGATGTCTTACTGTGCGAGAATGCCCAAGCCATGCAATCCGCAT